AGAGTCTGTCTTGCGGGACAGAGTCAAATGACGTACTATTAGCCACTACAGGCTCTGCTCCTTCAGTTGCCGATCCGTCCAGTATTGTACTGATGGTGCTTCCTGTCCATGAGCCGATGCCCAAAGGACAGGAGAGAAGACTGGAGACGGAGGACTGATAGAACGAGTAGGAGAGGGTGTATTGGGTGTAGGGCTAATAGTAAATGATAGTTCCGAATCGGAACAATTGAACTTCAACCGGCATTGCCCAGACTTCCTATTTTGAAATCCGAACAGACCCGGGAATGAATTTTGGAAGGGACCGTCCATAGTCACGTGTGCCACCGAATTTGGTAATGTCAGCAAATCGTTGTTTAGCACTGATTGCACCAAACTGAGGGCTAGGAGGGTGCCACTTTGTCTGCTGGGGATCATCCATTTTTATAGAGTCTGCAACATCCTGTTTTGCAAATGAATGATCTTTGCAATCGGCTTGGCAGGAGTTGATCTGTGGACCCAATAATGATCTCGTGTAGCCAATCTCGCTACCAATTTTGGAATTTGGGTCACGTCCAGCAGTGATTGAATAACTCGAAGGTGCTTTGTCATAACCCTTTTGACTAAGCGCCTTGAAATGATGCACAGATGGTTTGGTATGCATTTCTAGCTTGTTTGTCAAGGAAAAGATACCAGGTAACTTTCCTCCAAGCCAGGTAGCAGGTTCGAAAGACCATTCAGGGTCTGTACCATCTGGTGTGCATAGGATCTCGTATTGGACCGCAAATCCTTGTGGGTCCTTGAATAAGAGCCATGTTCCATCCTTCCTTTCGTCAATCGAGACATAGTTTCCACGTTGCCACGGTCGTCCAAGTAATAGACTGAAGGGAACATGGTCTCCAACGTAGAGATTAGCCTGAGTTTGCACCCCACCGCAAGTCAAGGGTACATTCTGGACTAATCCACGTAATTGTCCTTCCCCGCCATTAGCATCATTCATGCTAGTTGCACGCCTAATATCGATAGGTCTATTGATCACCGTCTTCCAAATGTGACGGTTGACGATGTTAAGCTGACTTCCAGTGTCAATGATGGCATGGATAGGTTGTCCATCACATTGCATGGTAAGTCTGATCAATAGTCCACGTGTTTTGGTCCATACGGAATGAGCTTCAGTCGGAATTGGTTTGGGTTTGATTGCATTAGCAAGAAGTCCAGACAGTTCGCGAGAAGTGCCTAGAATCTGACCCACTTCCAATTGGACTGGAGTCTTCAATACGGATTCCAATACTTTCTCTGGTTTGGTTCGAGTAGAAAGATCGGAGACACGTTGTCGTACAATTTTCTTGTCAGGGTTGGATTCGTCCTTGTTGACCGCCTGTTCTTTCTTCTTCTTTTCATTAACTGCTTCCTTAGGTCGGTCATTCCTATTGGTGATATCTTCCATGATGACATCTTCATCATCTTCGTTAAATCGAGCACGTTTCATGGTACGTGGGATTTCTTTGGCTACGTCGTGATGCTTGTTTTCGGATAATGGGGCAGGTTTAGAACGACCTTCTGCAGGTTTGTACTGCCTTGGGAATCGCGGGGCAGTCTGAATATTTTCTTTGACAAAGCCCTTTCCCTTCTGACCATTATCTCTTCGATCCTGTGGTTTGCTCATGGGAGGGGGAAAAACACCATCAAACCGCTCACGTCGAGCGTGTGTGTTTGTTTTGATGTTCCTCTCAGCAGGATAGACGTAGTAGTCTTCATCGTCATCGGTGGTAGCTGGTACCATATAGACTTCATCCTCAGAATCTGAATCATCCAACGTATAAAAGTCGCTTGGATATTCATAGATTTGAGGGGTCTTCTTCTTCATCTTTGTCTTCTTTGTGACCTGTCTGACGTCTTTGTCAGGGTCTTCTTCTTCGGAGGGTACCCTAATGAAGTTTGCAGCTGGTGCTTTCCTATCCTCTCGATTAATTGCCTCGAGCATAGTCTCATCAGGCAATTTTCGGATAGTAGCTCCATTGGGTCTCTGAAGTTGTCCTCGCTGGTTCCTCTCGATCTTTCCTTGGGAAATCAACTGGTTTAACTTTACACAGTTGAACATGGAGTGTCCCTTTTCTCCACACCCATAACAGATCTTCTCGAGTGAACCAGGGGCTATATAGAATCGCGAACCTGGTTGAGGGAAATTTCGTCCTCCACCATTTCGTCGATTGTTGAAAGCTTGGTTTCCTGTGTTCCCAGTGGTCCTAGTCTGAGTAGTAGATGCTCCTCCATTCCTTCTAAAAGGTGGGGATACAATCTTCATGACGGTAGGATCCAACTTGGTTACATGATAATACAACAATCCATACTGAGGATCATCGAGAGACATAGAATTGAGTTGCTTAATGAGCCCCTCAATCTCATCGATGGGTTCCAAAGATGTAGCTGAACTATCCTTGACCTTTGATGAAGGTTCTTTAGGCGTTTTGGAGCCAGAATGATTGCCTTTGTGTTTAGAGGCTTCCTTGACACGCGAGTGTTTCTTGTGGGATTTCTTTGTGGATTTGCGAGACTTTGGCTCAAGTTCTTCCTCCGAATCGCTTGACATAGTGTCAGAGCTAGTAGAGTCAGAAGAGCTGGTCTCAGTGTCCGAAGGAGAGGTTTCAGTCTCGTCCTCGGAGATGAGCAGATCGGCATCAAAGCGGTCCCGGTGAAGTAACTTCTCTGCGGTCGAAGTAACCTTGTCAACAGCAAATGCCTTTGACAAATCCTTATCAGGATCCTTTGCCATAAGGCGGCTTTCAATCTTTGCCCGAAGGCCTTTGTAGATTCCTTCCCAAAAGTAAGAGGCAAACTCATCTTTTGTGATTTTCTTTGCGGATTCTAACCAACCCGCAATCGTAATGAACCCTCTTACATACTTTTTCCAAGCAGCAAGAGTCGGGATACGTTTCCCCCTTGTAGCCTTGACATAGGCTAATAGATCCTTCCTCTTGTATCTCTTTGAATCGAGGTCGGCATCATAGTATTTCAGGATGTCCGCCTTAAGAGCATCCCAGTTGGGAGTTCTAAAGGAAGGTAATCCTTCAATAAATTCCTCGACATTGCGAGATGTGTACTGTGTCACAGTCTCGCATTTTTCCTTGTCCGAGAGCACTTGGTTGTAATCACACAACTTTTCATAGTGCTTCAAGAACTTTTTCACCTTTGAGAAGTCTCCCTTGAACTTCTTAGGTGCGGCTTTACTACCCGGGATGGGCATAGTAAGGATGGATAGTGCCATGGTACTAGACGATGGTGCCATGGTAGATTTCGACGAAATATGCACGAATAGGATTCAGGTATATTCCTGAACACGATAGGGTATTTGCTCGAGGATGGAGCAAATACGATAGAACAATTTGTGCAAGAACCAAAGAAGCCTCCCTCGCGGTGGGCTCCAGTGATGTCTTACTACTTGAGGGTCTTATATGTTTTTGTGTAAATGTAGTGACACCACAACTACACTTTGATAAGACAAGAGTTGCCAACTCCTCAAGTACACGGTCAACGAATTTTCTAGTTTTCTCGGTTGATAACGTGTCGTTCGTGGGAGGCTCGACTATACAGTCTGTCGTTGGTTCTTGGAATGGGGTTCGGTTTTGGATGGGATGATAGACCTAGATGATAGGCCTGATACGATGAACTGCGTAGAATAGATGGACTAGACTACGTTGACGAATGGTTTGTCCGAATGGTCCTTGGACAAATATACGAGTGGATGCGCTACACAACACTTGGCTGAAGTGTGTGGATCCTTTGATGAACGAGGGACCTTTGGTATGGAGCAAAGTCCTTGGTGGTGTGGAATTGGGAAGCTGACTAAGCTTTACCCAGACAGATCCTTGCTGACGTAATCAAAGCAAGAATATCTCCTGAAGAGTTCTTTGTCCAAACAGCTCTTGGACAAAAGATATGGGTTGTGTGGGATGCTGACTAAGCTTTTCCCAGACAAATCCTTGCTGACTTAATCAAAGCAAGGAAACAGCAGTTCTAGACCAACAAAGGACTAGAAAAGAAGGTTAGGGTGACTAAATGCCCCTAACAACAGTAAAGATAATACAAGACTAAGATTATATCAAATCTTAGTGTAGTAAGGCTGTCAGTTTCAGCCTGCACTTCAGATGATAGATGTGAAGTGGGAAATCTCCAATATGGGGAGTCTCTCATTTCTCCTCAGAGAATTGAGCCTCCTTATATACATTTGGTGTGGGAAATATCCCAGGAACTGTATAGTACCAAGAAAATAGAAAGAGACACAAATCTCAGAAGAAATAAGGTAGTTGTAGCATAAAATGCAGAATTGAAGTGGAAAGAACACCAAAGGAGGAAAATGACTCATTCTGACTCATTTGACAGCAAATGACATCACTGTGGAGCAGTGTGGAGCATTTGTGGAGCAAAGTGGAGCTGAATGATATCATTGTGGAGCTATGACATCAAATGACATCATTGTGGAGTTATGACATCGAGTGACATCGTCCAAGATCAAATGACTCAATTCTGGAGTCACATGACTTCTCCTAGGGTTAATTACATGTTATGTAAGCTCAGATTGTGGCTGAAGCTCACATAACGTGCACAAATAAAAAAGAACAAGAGAAACAGAAGCAAGAAAGTCAACAAAGATAAACGTAAACAGAAGTAAACGAAACACGAGCTTTCTGCCACTTTTTACTTCTCTTGCCTCAACATAGAGTAATTAGTCTAAAGCGAAAGCTTTTGGACTAGTATACTCTTATCCTATTGAATGTCAATGTATGATCTTCGTTTCATGCATGACACCGGTGGGAATGCTAGTCAGGGCGTTATTGCCGACTTCCTGAGCCACATTCCAATCAGCACTAAATTAGTTAAATATCAGGGCCATGATTATGGTACGCAAACTTTACTCACTGTCATTGAGCAAGCTCGTCGAGAACTTCAACATAGTGTATGCAGAGTTGGTCTCTGACTGGCGGCAGCTTCAATCCATCAAGGTAATCACGTTCGTCTTTGAGAAATTAAGAAAAATCTTCGTCAGTAAGACATAGCTCGGCTTTGATGGCAGTGAGTGTCTGAATAGAATTAAGCGCCTCGCGATAGTGATTCCAAATGTAATTGCCTGACGGAATCAGTGACAAAATCAGGAGACTTAAGTATTAATATTTACTTACTGAGGGTGGCGTACTTGTCAGTATCCCAAAACGAAAAATGTTCTTCGATAGTCTGACGCCGGTGGAATGGACTTGCGTGTCTCGTACTATGAGCAAGCTCGTTTGAGGATGAGAACACGTTGTAGAGAGTGATATCTCTACAGGCTCGTATTCCCTGATTTCTACATCGACCTCATCCCTATCCACAGGTGGGCGCGACTTTCCCGCGACCTTCCGCACCTTCCGCGCACTTCCCGCGCTCGCGCTCAGCGCGCGCTTTCCCGCGCTTCCTCCGATCCATCCATCCATTGTCTATTCGGTCCATAGGTGCGTATTACATACATATATTGGTTTTCTGACAGCTGCTGTCTCCTTACATACATCTGTGACATTCCTCGGCCGCGTTCCCACGCTTCCGCGCTCTTCGGCCGCTTTAGGATGCTTTTCGCTCCCTCTTCGCTAGCTATCCTCTATATCTAACTGGGCTTTCTGACAGAAGGTGGGGACTTAGGCAATCACCCTTAGAAGAGTTCCGCAGTTTGTGCTATGTCTTAGAAAGCATTTATCTATAGCCAGGAGTCATATTCTCCTTCCCTTATCAGTCTATATTCATAATACATTCGCTTGATACCCATTCCTCGCGTCCTACACGATCCTAGACATCCTTCCGCACTTGCGCTCTACGAGCGCCGCGTTCCTGCGCGTTCCGCGCTTTCTGCGCATTTCCCGCGCCCTCCGCATACCTCGCGCGTTCCCGCGCTTCGAGCGCACTTAGTTGCCCGACTTCCACCTGACTCAGCTTCCCCTAGAGGTCGAACATATCGCCCTCACATCAGAGCAGATTCCTCCAAGTCTGTTCGTTGTCCCCACAACGTGTTCACACCCTTCGCCCTCGGTGTGTCCAGTGCCCGGAATGTATATGGGATGCCAGTCGAGCTGGCACTTACGATTATGGGCGTGTCCATGGAACGCGCCCACCATGAGATGAAAGTCTAACTCGCGCGCTCGCGTACCCAAGGAACTGTTGGTCAGTGTCTTCGAAAATGCACAACCACCATTTTTACCATATACGGCAAGGAGCCTCTCAATTATAGCTAGCGGGTATTTTGCTCTATTGTATATTAGCGCTAGTTAAGATGAGCTAAGAAAGAACTCAACAATTCTCCACTTTGTATCATGTCACATGCTAGAACGACGAATCTATGGCGGCACACTGCAATAAATATCCCAGACTCATCAAAAACCGAAAACATTTTTTTGCAAGTATTGGGACCAGCATTGCGCCATCGGTTGACGCAATTGAATGCTGGGGTAGTGCCTTCGGCTGCGATCATTTCATCCTCCCAGTTATCGTCATTCGTGTCCCTCTGCTAAGTATAGTCAGACTATTGTTGCATGTAGAGAGACTTGACTTACTTCTCGTGTTTTAACTTCATCTTTAAACCTGTCTACATGGCAGGTATCAAGCCAATAATCAGACCGTGCCTTACGAGAATCAATGCGTGGGTTCGAGCCGTAAATCGTGGAGTTCCAGCGTTTCAAACTATTGTTCCTGTCGATTGATACGAGCCAATCGAATTGAAGTGCAGGCTCGTCCTCTAACTTATAGAAGCAAGCTGGGCAAGAATTGAGCATGCGCCAGTTCGGTGTGTCATGATTGAGTGCTGCACAATGACGTTGTTTCACACGGTGAAGTATTTCGAGATAGACGTCGTAAGCGGCCGAAAATTGTGCATTGAGGTATGGTCGATAGGGAGTCTATAACAATATTTTAGATCAGTCAAATAATGTAATATACACGTACATCATGCAAAAAACATAAACTTTTCACTTGGGTTTGAATGCTGAAACGGGGACATGATCAATGGATTTGACGGTATGCGGCAAGCGTGCGCAGCGAGATGGCAGCCGTGGGATATAGTGGTGCGCACCCAATGTAACCATGGTAGATTAAGGTCTCATTAGGGTATTTGTGGAAGGGCTGTGATCGTAGTGAAGAGTGGCTTCGCTCTGGAAATGAATTAGCGCACAGAGAATTGGAACTTTCATAGAACGTACTGAAAAGGTCGATTAGTTCCATGTTGGTTAATGAAACACCAGAAGGATTGTCTAGAAGTGGCTCCGCAGACATGTCGTCAAAGGTCAGTAAGCCATCTCCAGAATCCCGGAAACGATAGTCCAGGTAAGCATCCACGAGCAGGTCTATTTGAAGGTGCCAGTGATTTGTTTGGGTTTCTGTACGGTCCTCCCAAGTGCGGGGATCAATATAGTGACTGGTGGATAGTATGAGCAACAATAGACAGATGAAAAAAAAACGTACTAGCCACTAAGGTCTGCTATTTGACCAGCAAGTCCTTCAAACGCCTTGTGCTCCCCACCTGCATGACTAAGTTCCATGCCTTCCTCTCCTGGAGGTGCGGTGTATGGTATTGCTTCAATGTCCATTCCATAGTCAGTCATCATATTCTCCACCAACTGGTGTTCTTCGCTTGACATCTCTGAGAGAGATCAGCATTAGTTAGAAGCAAGTGATAAGAGTAGGAAGATATACCTTGGACTTGAGCCTGACGGCCTGCATCCGCTGTCTCCTTGCGTTGAAGCTGACGGCTAGCTGTGAGGATACGAGTCTGGTGGTGCCGCCCTCGAAAGTCATGCGAGATGATAGACTTTGAAAGACCCTTAAATTTAGAATGACTCCCTGAGCGAGGCATTGGGAGCCGGTAGGATGGTTGGGAACTGTGAGGATGATAAGGCGATGAATTTGTGGGCGTAGGCGAGTAGCTGAGAGCGGAGCGTTGGTGGGTGGGAGACCAGATATCTGAATAGTGCGATCCCCAAGTGATGACTCTGTGGGCGTAGGTGAGTAGCCGAGACTAGAGCATTGGTGGGTGCACAGACCACTTGGGCAGGGGTTGTAGAGGGCGGTGGTTGGCAAGGATAACAAGGTGGGAGGCAGGTTGGTGCGGGCAGCGTGCTGGGGCAGGTGTTGTAGAATGAGATGGGAGGCAGGATGCTGCAAGCAACGTGCTGGGGGCGCAGAGACGACTGTGGTGCTGGGATTTTGGGTGAGGCAGATGAGGCAGATGTTGTAGAGGGCAGTGGTGGCCTTGGTGAACGCTGCTGAGCTGTAGAAGCAGCAGTGTGCAGTGTGCAGCAGTGCAGGGGGTAGGAGGAAGGAGGTGTGAGAACCCGCCAGATCAACCATCATGACCAAGATAGGCGGCGTGTGGGAACTGCCGGAATCAAGCGCGGGGCGGGATAAGGCGGGATATGCGCCAGGCTACAAGTACAGTAGATATATGTAAAGTATCAGAATATTTAGGGCGTGATTTAATGCTGGTGTTGGGATATTACTGTTTTCGATCCTAATTGTAGTTGACGAGGCACGCTATTTCTAAGCCTAATAAGGCTTCCCAATTGGGCTATCCAGGTGGTGTCGCCCCGGTGATGTGTGACCTGTTACCACTCCGAAATTGTTCGGCTCATCAACCCAGGTACCAACCAGCTCTCGTACATTGATGCCGATGGACCCCCAAAACCACTTGAGAAGGCATAACTTCCATTTTGGGCTATTTGGTTCTAATTGTCGTAGATACACATACAAATAAATTATTCTTTGCCCACCGCCACCGCATCATGTCGCTGGTCATTGTTTCAGTCAGCGGGCACATCCTTCCAACACCAAAAATCCATTACGGAAACCCTGCCAGTAGACCTCACTGGGTGTGCCCTCCCAAAAATCCACTATGGAAACCCTGCTTCCAGTAGACTTCACTGGGTGCTTCCCCAAAAATCCTATCTCTACTAACACATATCACGCCATCAAACAATTTAGCGATGTTCATGCCGGCGTATGTGCTCCGCTACGGACACCCTGCTTCCAGTAGCCCTCACTGGGTGTGTCCCCAAAATCCTATCTCTACTCACATATCACGCCATCAAACAATTTAGCAACGTTCACGCCGGCGTATGTGCTCTCTATTTCTAATGAGCTCTACTAACATATATCACACCATCAAACAATTTAGTGACGTTCACGCCGGTGTATGTGCTCTCGTTCATCACGCAGCGTGCACATCGTCAGGAACGTTCATGTGAGTGTTATTAGTGTTAATATTTCTGCAACAAAGTAAATAATTTCAATAGATACATTGTCGAGGCGCATGCTTGCACGAAGCGCTGGTGCCCATGTTGCCCAACAGCGTGCATCAAGTCATGTCGCTGGACCATCTCGTGCGAATATCCCGCGGCCGTCCGAACATCAACAAAACTTACTTGTTGGCTTGTCGATGGGTATGGGAGTAAGCCATTATGACAGTATTGGGTTGTTGGAGATATGCAACGGTTGTGGAAAAATGTTTGCCAGACGTGCATTGAACAAACGTTTTGGAAAGTCATCGAGTCTTGTTCTTATATACCTTTGATATAATGTTTCCGAATGTATATTTGTTCGGTTTCACATCAGTGGCAGAGGTCTTGTGGGGTGTACGGAATCAGGATTTGCTCGTACCTTGTTTTCGCCACAGCTTGGCAGCCGAACGGTGGCGGAGTGGTAACAGGGCATCGCACACTCGTGTCGCCCCAATTGTGGGCCAGGTGAAATTGACGCGGTCCTGCCGCGCCTGCCGCGGTCGTGACGCGCCTGTGACGCGGCACGCTCATGTTCAAACAACATCTTATGTCGCTCGAACTGGATTCCAACAAGTTCCAAGCACTTTGAATATCCTCGTTAATGATCAGCATGTGAGTGTCCGTCTGCGTACAGGCCCTAGACTGCGGTATTCATTTCTCACCATATTTACAGTGCTTGTCTACTAGTGTCACACAGTGCATCTTAGTACCGTAATTTGTCTTGTATTGTCTCTAATTCATTGACCTAATGTTGGTTTACATCAGACACAATGAGTGCAAGTGTTGTCTTGCTAAGTGTCAAGCCTCGACCTCACATTGTCAAGTCTCGCTACTAGTAAGTGTCAAGCCTCGACCTCACCTTGTCAAGTCTAATACAGTCTCTATACTCACGTACTACCATGTTAAGCCCCGACCATGTCATCTCAAGCCTCATTCAGGCTGGGTCAAGCACTGCTCATACCACGACAGGTTTTCCCAATCATCTTCACTCATGTCAACCTTCACTCTTACCTGTGCCGTGTCAACGCCCATTTCATGCTGCGTCAACCATAGCCCATGCCGCGTCGGTGCCGCGTCAACAAAAGTTGTGCCGCATCAAAACTCATCCATGCCACGTCAGTGCTGCGACTCTGGCTAAGATATGGCTGACCACTCAATTATAGTGTTGACAAAGGAGCTTTGGCTCGTCTCGGGAAGTATTGGTATCCTGTTCAGCTATGGTGCAGTTCACCTATGCGCCGCTACTTTAGTGCAAAATTTCCAGCGTCGTGAAAAAAAGTCCTAGGATTTTTCTATCTTGTAAAAATGCTTAGCTTACTGATAGAAACATATTGTCAAGACCGATTTCGCATAGTGTTAAATTTGAGCAAGAAAAATTTTTGGACATGACCCAAATTGTTACGACAACGGTCGTAGTCGGACTGGGATGGGTAAGCGAAGGACGACGGTCCTAAGCTATCGTGTCGTGTATCGGTTGAACGTCAATATACCTGGTAGCCTAAGCCGTCAGGTTGTGACAGAACGGAAGGGGAGGTAAGCTTCTAAGGCAGCGGCCGAAGAAGGGTTTCGTGTTCGACGGTTAAGTCTAGACGAGGGATCGGTATCGACTCAAAGACAAACGGTCTAAGAGAAGATGTATCGGACTCAAGGATAGCGATCCAAGAGTATAGAGGGTTCGTGATCAGACTCAAGAGAGTTAACTCAAGAGAATATACAAGTCAAGGTAAAACCCAGTAGAATCAAGTTAAGGAATAATAGTACAAGTGGATCGACTATATATAGGTAGGGATCACAGTGTTCAGGGCAGGTCAGGTAATCGTACAAGAGTCAGGAAAGATATATCGGGTAGGCAAGAGGAGGCAGGAGTCCATGAGGTCAGGGTCAGGGTTCAGTGGGAATCATCAAGGGAAAAGGAAGTAAGGCCATGAGGCCATAGATCAAGGGTCCAAAAGGAAGCGTCTAGCTTCTGTCAGGGTCGGCGGGGATCAGGAAGTAAGGGAAGTATCTAGCTTCTTGTCACAGAAGGTCAGGACCAGCGGGGATCAGGAGGTGTGCATCAAGCATCATGGTGAGTCGTGAAGAGGTGAAGGTGTGACGTCGTGACGGGGTGAAGAGGTGAAAGGGTCAGAAAAAGATAGGGGTGCCATGTTACTGTAACACAAATTGGCGGTGAGGGCTACGGTACCAGTAAAATCAGTCGAAAAGACACGCAAGAGTCTCCGGAACACGTCTATGAGATTTGTACTTCCTTGAACTGAACTCCTTGACCTGCAACTGTGCTGTTTTCGTCTCCAGACCCGACCGGTAAGCACTCATCCACCTGTGCATCCGATGTTCCCATAAACGGATTGTACTGAGACGTACGGAAGCCATAGCCTTCGGCAAGTTGGTCTTGAGCGTTTCGAAGGTGTAATCGCAGTTCTCGCGCAGATACCTCTTTACTGCCCCCCAAAAAAACTCAATAAAATTGAGCTTGCAGTGGTATTTTGGCAAGAAGATGCACAAGTGACCAGCAGCCTCAATGACATCTTGCACAAGTGGTTTCTGCTCGGCGAAATCTGGTTGAAGTTCGAGAATTCGTTTGAGGCAGCAGTTTGTCGCCTCGTCAGGACACTTTGATTGGCACCTGCCTCGATGTCTCCCCTGCAAAAGACCACGTTCCTGGAGAACAGCCTTGATGCCCTTCGGTTCGTTTGGGTGATCATGGTGATCGGAGGGAAACATCATGGGCTGAATAACTTTTTGCCCACCAGCATCAATGAACCAACCATCTTTCATCTGTGCCTGCTTGCCCCCCGGATTTATATTCATGTGTGAGATCAGCAACGCATCGTCGGCATATGCTGAGTGTCCCTGAGAATTATCGATGAGGAACAATGCCTGGTAACCAGGTCCGTGAGCACGTTCGAATGCTGGAATTATTTTGTTGCGGAGCTTCCCCTGTTTTCAGTTTCATGCATGATATCTGAACAACGACACCCACCTGCGCAACAAACATTTCCCCATTCCAGTATCTGTCGTAATTTTTGCCATACTCAATGGTGTGTGCTGCTTCCTCGAGATGTCCAACAGTCGAGCAAATGATACTACTCTGATGCAATCCTCGACCCGCTCCTTTCTTTCTCAGCTTGTGCTCGCCATCCGGCACCCAGCTCATTGACTGTCCATTGTTTGCTTGAGTGGTCATCTCGTCATGTGCACAAATGACGAGCCGTGTTTCGACGAAATTGGAAGGAGGGATATCAGACTCCTTCTCGACATCTCTGACAACATATCGAACAAGACGACGCTCGTGTTCCATCATTGCAGGAAGAAAGACATTTTGTCGATATTCAACAACATCTGGTCGATCATGGCCGTCAAAATACAGCCCTTTCTTGTATGCCATGAACCGAAATCCTTCAAGACGGAGCCAGCAACGGGCTGTGCTCAATGATACCCCACGCCCAACCTTCATGTGGATACGAGGAAAGAGCTCAAGCTCGATGTATCTCTTCAGCCCCTGGGGCATTTCAGTCTGTACAAGCCCCTCGAGATATTTCGTTGCTTCGGTATGGAGAAGTTCGTTATTGGTGAATTTCGCCAGCTTCTGAGGGTCCATTGACCATTTGTTTGAGCGCATGAATGTGCGGAGCTCGGATGCGATTGCAGGGTCATCAAGGAGTGACGAAATCTTGGCATGCCGTCCCCATTGTGAAACTGGAAGCATTCTTGTTCGCATCCACTCACGAGTCCACCCACGAACCTGGCGTCCTCCCCACTTTGCAGCAAACCCATTGGTCTCTGCAGCCATTTCGGAGGCCACCTTGAAACTATGCTTGTTCTTGACCACAAGCATTAAGTGAACCTCGATAGTATGTGCACGACGTGCCTGTAAACCACGTGGACCCCCAGCAAACACCGTCTTTTTCGACTTCAAATGCTTTGTGATATCTTTGTATGCGTGCTCCAGCTCAGCTTGTTTTGCAGCTTGCTTTTGTTTTCACTGCTCACGATATGGAACCTCGAGTTTTTGGCGTTTCCGAGGTAGTGCCGAGGAAACACGACTGGTGCCATCACGATCATCACTGTGATCCATGTTGGTGTTGCTATCCCCGTCATCTTCATCACTCGAGAAATCAGAAAGGAAGCCCAGCAAGCTTGGAACATATTGCGTGGCGCCGGGGCACGCTGCCTGATTGTGCACTGGTGCTATTTTCTTTTGCACTGGCTTTTGTGCAGCACCCTTTTGTGTAAATGCACGCATCATGCTGATTTGTGGATCGGTACTGAACAGCCACACCAGTAAGTGTTCTGATCTGATGGGGTTTTTTACTGAAGAGTCCTGCTCACCTTGTCTTTGCATATTCACGAAAATCCCCTCGAGCACGAGCATCGTGCAGTCGGCGCTCCTGCGTGCGCTTGGAGTGTCCATCATATCCTAATCCTCAGCTTCTCTCAGCTTTCTTCCAGTTCTCGCTCGTCTTGGGTCCAGCCACCTTCTGATAAGGTGTGGGTTCTGCCAGTGAGGTAACCTCGTCTCTCAACTGCGCCAAACTACTTTCGAGCTCTTCGCCCGCCAGCTCAACAACACTCTCTCCGCTATCTGATTCTGAGTCCCAATCGATCTCAAATTCTGAGTCACTGTCGGGGTCAGGCAACGAGCAGTGAACACCACCAGTAAACCCGCAATCGAAGTTGTTGTTGTTGTCGTCGTCACCGTTGTCGGGCTCCCACACCACTTGAATTTGTCGGGCGAGTCTCGCGCGAGCAGCTGCCAATTTGTGGTACTTGCGAACCATTGTTTAAAGGTTGAAATAATTAACTTTAGCCTGTACATAGTACTACACTTGTCTGTCGCGACTCGCAATCCGACACCTTGTACACTAGCATCGAAGTTGTGGTCGCTGCCGCACCTACCATTTTTAGCAATGAGATTAGAGTTGGAAATTTTGGCCCTCAATTTGGCGGTCGCCCCAAAGTAGCGGCGCATAGGTGAACTGCACCATAATTCAGTCCTATGTTAATTGTTGATGTGCTCCACAGACTTGGAGGGTCCAGAGAGGGAGGAAAAGAAAATGGTCATTGGTTGATGTAGCTAGTAGTACATGTCCCTATGACGAAAAAAAAATCACAAAGGAATGGTCATGAGCCCGTCCAACTTGATGTGGGAGTCGAATGCAGAACATATAGGAATGCCTGCATTGGCGTGTCAGTGGCCGCGTCAAGGCTCGTTGGTGCTGTGTCACAACCGCGGCAGGCGTGGCAGGACCACATCAAAATAGCCACGCCCCCCAATTGTCCATGTCACATTTCGCGTCTCTGTCATAGTCCGCCTGGCAACACCCCACTGCAACCAACTAGCCCTGCTCCTTGCATCTCCGAGCTCTTCATGGCCCTACCGTCTACGTACAGGCTATACTGTCCTATTTATGCATGATATAACTAGGATTGTAGTACTGTAGTCATGCATGTTTTTACTGTAGCGAGCCCTTAGTAGAATCACAGATAGAACATGCACGCTACCATGCATGGCGTGAAGCACAAATGTGAAGCGCCAATCATGCACGCTACATACTGATACCATGCATGACATGGTGCGTGCCATGTTTATTACATTACTCAATTTGAACAGCGCTGCACCTCGTTCGGCATACCTGCGCAGCGCTGTTACAGCGGTATTCCGCCTTTGCATCCCGCCGTCACGTCAACCACCCGCCCTGGATTCATTTTTATATGCAGCACCTCAGCATCTCTTTCGGCGTTTATTCTTGCATTCTGAGCCTTTGTATACTACTGCTCTCCGCTTGCCATTAGTCTGGTGTCTTGGCAATGCTCGCTGCTCAACACTCATCACTCTGGCGGCCAGGTCTCAGGCTTTATTCCCGCCCCTTCGCTTACCATCCCACACTTGCTGTTGCTATCCTGCTATATCCTGTTGCTGCCCTCCCAGGCTGACCTGCTGCCGCATTCACGCCGCACCCACTGCATGAAGCATTGAAAAAATGCTAGTTTCACAATGCCCACTTCAAGTTCTCCGCCACTGGGAGTACTCCAATCGATACTGATGACTCTATGCTGAATGGTAGGTCTTAAATATATGTATTGTCCAGAACCACGCTAATGATATTCTATGCTCGCTCCACTCTTCCGAACCCTCGGTCATACCACTCTGCCCATCTCTCACACTCACTGGCACTTGTACATTCTGCCACCCCGCTGTTAGTTCCGCCCTGTACATACTCCGGTACCATACCTACACCTTATTATGGCTTCTCGCACCGTCTCCATGCTCTCGCGCCTGCCTGCTACCATGCTGTCACACTCTTAGACTTTAGTCCCATGTTTATCTTTGTATTGTGAATGGGAGTGGTTCAAATTCACGCAAATTGATTTGTTTTATTCTACCTGAACTTAGTAGTGGCCGCAATTTGAGATGCTCTAAAGTTATTATGATATTTTGATAAATCTCCCAAGAACATGAGCCAGTCAGACAACATATGATATTGTGCACTACCTACATGGTGTCTCACGGACAAAAACACTCAGTACATTCAGGTCTCGAGTTCACTGGACTTGTGAATATCATAATGTGAATTGTTCTTTCAAGGTATCCCTGACCCATCCGATAGGTAAACAGTCGCGCGACTCACTACTGATACATGTGCTTACATGTACTAGTACAATTAACTCGGATTACTCAATTTATATTTTGTGAGTGCTGTTGTACACTCGTCTAAGGTGCGTGTGGGATGTATCGAAAGCTGTAAAGTCGGTGAATAACAGTGGGACCTCTAATATGTCAGGAACTCAACAAATCATTGTGTTTTCTCGTTTCCAAGCTTCTTAGGATTTTTATTTGCATCATGATTGGCTGCGGCTTACAATGGTTCAACATCTCACGTGATCACGCAGCGCACAACAAACAAACTAAAGCCTTGGTCTGCCCTCTTCCACAGCTTCTATGATGAGGTGAGCAACCAGGAGATTATTAGCACAGATGCTGATGGAGAGGGATGAGAAGTTGGGATGGTTCACGATGTCTGGTTGGCCCCGCTTGTTGAAGTGTTTTACCTGGAGTTGCAGGCATAGGCAGGCATGCAGTACTACATGCCATTGTCTCGCTGTTCTTCCTGCAATCTCCCGTTGTCTCGGCACTCGCTACGTCTGATGTTTTCCACCTTTGAAACGACACCACTCCCATTTGGCAGGCTCTCACAGCAAGCACAGCCAAAGGTGTCATGGAACATTCACAGCGGTACTCAAACAGGGCCGCGTAGTTCCTGCAGCAGCTCTTGCCCATCCATAGGTCAAGTTCTACTTATTTTTTTGAAGCTGCCTTGATTTATACCCTCTCGTTGGTGCTTTGTTTAGAACTGTGCAAGGCTCGCACACACGCACGACGAGATGGGAAGAAGCGGTCGACTTTTCGAAGGAGGGACAATAGCAGGACATCAATTTATTGGACTGGCAGGCAAATTGGTCGTAGAGTCGGCGACAGTGCCACGACTTGGTGAACTGACCTCCTGTTCGCTCCATGTCCGATTCTCCCACTGACAGAACTCCCTCAATTGTACACGCCCCAGCACATATTTTTGATATTTGTAGCTTTTATTTACGCTCTATCTTTGTAACACTGTGCATATCAACCAATGAAGTTGTTCTTTTAACCATCCTCTTCATAGAACAAAAAGTCTGCAACAAAATGCCCCAAAAACAAGCGAGAATGATATGCTTGCCGTCGTGCACAGTGAGCAGGAGGGGCGGGATTGCCACCGTGGTGCGCCGCCAGGCACGAATCCAAACCGACGCATGTATAGATTAGATCATGCATGGCCGTGGCTGATATATGCACCAATTGCCATGCATGACTGCGGTCATCATGCACGACCTACTTAAGGCAGGGACTCATATAATACTGCAAGATTATATGTACACCATGCATGAATTACATACTAGGATAGCAGTAGAACATGCATGAGGTCTGAACTACAGTAACAGTAATATCATGCATAACTACCACAGCATCAGGTGCTACGTACGGGTTTAAGGCTTTGCCATCCCTCCAGCTGTTGGGTAGGTGACTAACATCTTCTCCTGCTTCCTCAGAAAGCAATGTCTTCTGGTGGAGAAAGGGAGTCACAGACTCTCGTGAGCACGAGGAGAGACGATAAAAACTGCTTTCCACAGGCTGCGGGGCAAGTCCAATGCGTGGATCGAGTCATTCTCACTTCAATCGGTCATGCGAGCCATTAGCACAAGTGTGAAATGTACCGGTGGTGTGAAAGGTACCGGTAGTACACTGTATCTCTTCTTCAACTCTTCTTTGCTTCGTGCTTGAAAATTCTCCGTACTCAAGGACTCTTAGTCGTACATCAATCCATGCATCAATCTTGGCGTCCGTGGCAAACTTAGTAGGTATTTCTGGCAGATAGTCCATATCTATTGAAGTTCGAGTTAGAAGTTAACAATAGGAAAGCTATGGAAAGCGGGAGTGATCAGCTTCGCGAGAGTGATCAGCTGGAGACTAAAATGGCATTTGTTTGGCTCTTCTCCCGCCAGACCCCAGATCACCCATAGCCCATATATGCGGCTGTGCGTACCCGTCTACAATCAATGTTAATAATTCTGCAAATGGGCTGGCCCAGCCGGGACAGGCTGCACGTGCCAGGATGCAGTGGATACCAAAAACGACACCGAGCCTGCTCAGGTGTCTCACCAAGATATTCCTGGGGGCGCTTTCGCTTCTGATCTTGCAGATGTTTACTATAGCCAGCGGTTGGAGTCTCCTAACCCTGACCACAACCACGTTATTATCACATCGCACACCAGGACCCAGTCCCTTGCTTCCACCAACTCCAACTCCAGCCCCAGATACGACCATTCATCGAAATCGAACGAATCTCTAGACGTCGACGTATGGATACCGACTGACCTGGTGCGCAGATATGTTCTCCCAAATCACCAACTTTTCACCGTAGCCGAGCAGTCACCTTCCAACGTTGCTCAACTCCATCAGTGAACCCGTGAGGAAAGTAGAAGGCCATACATTACAATATATAGTACATAATCACGAGAATTAGCATAATTCTGCTATGGACAATTACATTGTTATGTTTGGCCTTATAGAGGTAAGATGCTTGCCTGATTTTCCTACAAATTTTTATGATCGAGAGAAGCGCGTGATTTTGCTCAAACTCCAAAGGCATCAAATAATTGACCCGAAATTATAAAGGTTTACAAAGCTTTGTCTAACCGTCAAATTTATATGGTACCTGTCAGATTGATACTACCCGGAGTAAGTTAGACAGAACTACCAAAAGCGCCAGCATGACAGATTGCCTGCAACTACCTGCCATTTTATCACCAGCACCAGATAATTCTCAACCTCAAACACTCATTTTGTGAAGAAAATCAATTTTATTTATATTGAAATACATATGTAGTTACAGGACACAAAAAGAAACAGGGAAATATAGTGGAGAGGGAATATCACAAGAGGGAGAGACTAAGGCCAGCAAGGAACCATGAGGAAAGGCCAGGGAAGGAGCACCACGAACGGCCAGGAAAGGCCAGGGAGGGACCACCACGAACGGCCAGGAAGGAACCACCAGGAAAGGCCAGGGAGAAACCACGAACGGCCGGGAAGGAACCAGGAGGAAAGGTCAGGGAGGGACCACCACGAACAGGAGGAACCACAAGCAAACAGCAGATGCTGAGCTCGAGTCTCGAGAGGTGGTGGTTGTAGGGCCACCACGAACAGGAGGAACCACAAGCAAACAGCAGATGCTGAGCTCGAGTCTCAAGAGGTGGTGGTTGTAGCTATAGCGGTGAAACAAGCTTGAAAGGAACTTAGCGTGAAAATTTCCGTCTTGCACAAACAATGACAAACCAATTTCAACCACTTGCGGTAGTCACATGATTTGAGGTTGTCCGATAATACTACAGTAAGATTTGAGGCTGAGGTGATGGTCACGTGCATGATCTTAGATGACATTGTAATTCACGCAATATCTGAATCTACTTGTAAGTCAAATATAAATGAAGGAATATGATGTTGCTCACCAAACATTACCTAATTACACGAATTCATGACCTCGTCGGAAATTCTCATAAGAATATATTTTAGGTTTCAAGTGCTAACGGTGCTTTCCACGATAAAGTCTTATATCACCTTATATCACTTTGTAGTTTAAAACATAAATTAAGGGATATGGTATGAGTCAACAAGTATGACTTAACGATGCTACTGCACATTGATCTCTGCGACGGCGCTATGTCGTTATCTTGTCGCGAACTCCTGATGGTAAAATGAATTTTCAGACATCTATTGCTATGTACTGATCACTAATATTTCTTGCCGTATACATAGGTTTATTCAGCGGTAGCAAAATTATTTCACACTATATTTCTCACAGCTACCATATCACGGACTCCTCAATTCTCTGATGTCCTTGCGCTCTTCTCACACGACAATGTTCCGCCTGTCTTACGACGAAGATCAGGCGAACTTGGGGAGGTCATCAAGTCTACTGTAGAACGAGTGACATCTTCAGGAGTTGCTGTTGAGGCCGTCATGGTTATAGTCTACAGACGTCGAAATAGTCAACTCGGCTATCTTTGACGGATTGGCGATCTAGTAGGGATAAGCTTATCCCAACGAAATGTATACATAAAACGGACATCATCAGACATAGCACAACTTGTAACTAAACTATATGTATTTCTAACGCGCATGTTTTTTTTGGCATTCTTGGCCTGCTTCACCTTCGGTACCCCGGAGCAGATGAAGACAAAACAAAACGACACAACAGACAACGGGTACAGGTATGCCCGAAGGGCCCTTGCGAATCTAAAATTGTGTGACTGCTTTGTGACTCGTGAGTATCCGAGCAAAAAAAGACTCTCGATTTCACTGACCTGCTGGACGCCTAATTAGCGCCCGGTCTTCTGCCAGAGGCCCAAGCATTGATGGTGAAGGGCAACTTGAAGCGAACGAGGGAGGACCAAGATCCTGATGACGGTCAGCACGAACACCGCACACACGCTCGACGCTGTTTCCTTACATCACTCCAATTATTTTCAGAGCAGATACCAACCCACCGGAACAAAATTTTAAGGCATAATGATCGACCTTCAGCTTCCGTTGCAATTGACAGCGCTGTTGAAAAAGATACCAAAAGCGATGATGTTGAAATTGTAGATTCTCGTCCACACACTTTACGTCCAGCACCGCTGGGCGGCACCCACGGAAATACTATCAACTCTTTGCTTGACCTAACTTCTTTGTGCTCTCAGGACGACATATCTGCACGCTTTGACTCCATATCAAGCGCTTTATTGTCTGAATATTATCTTTCAGTCATTCATGGCGGCTCTCAGACGGACTATGAAATCCTCGAACTAGAATTCTACTTCCAGAAGTCAGCCTGTCACGAGGACCCATTCACCCATGGAAGTGCAGAGCAGGAGCGCAGCGGGCAGTGGTGAGAAATTACTCATGAGTTGTCGTATAAGAAATGGTTCAAATCGGCTCTCACAGGTATTTTCATCGTGCACCAAAACGCTCAAACACATCCCAAGCCAATCTTGCTGCCACTGTAGCAGGAGGTTATCGGGGCGGCACCCGTAAAGGCCTTGATTTGACATTTGGTGGTCCCGTATGCACTCAAGCGTCTTCTAGCATGGAGCCTTACATCACATCAGCAATATTGCGAGGCGGTGCTCTTCTGCGCACCATACGTCGATATCATGACCAAAAGGTCATCTCAGGACCCTCACTTCTCGTCGATGAGATTTTGCGCGTGTGCAGTGCTTCGAACATCAACGAGCTTGTGTCTGCTAAATGGCAAGGCGACATTTCTGCCCTCTCAGCCCCGAGCCAACCAAGAAGCATTTATATGTACTTGCGCAAGCGACCTGCATCGAGCCTTGCGACTTCGCCCGTGTTCCGTTCTCCACGCATTGGACTTGATCTTTCTAACCCAGAAACCAAAGCCAGCCCAACACATCCACGAGTTATCTTTGTCGGCAAATTGTATCGGTACTTCACTTATCCAGAGCTCCTCGTTATCAACGGACGCACGCAAACATTCGTAGGACTATACCTGGCTCTTGTCGAAGGAAAGGAGTACGAGCCTGGCTCACTCAAGTTCCGCAACGAACTGAACAAGCTGACGGGGATCAAGGACACGACTCTTGCCAAGTATTTTTCGGACTATCAGCTCGGATACGAGAAAGGGAAGTTGGCAAACTTCGTTGGGGCTCATGGAAAAGGTGTCTTAGCGTCGGCGTCTGCATATCTTAGGATGATGGGTACGCTCGCAATGGTCCTGCACGAGGCTCCATGAAACGATTGTATATATTCAGGTACCTGTAAGTGCTGCCTTAAGTGCTGCTCTAGTGCTACAGCTCACAAAGTATTTCTGAAGTAAAAGGAGAATATGTTAAATAAATAATGAATGAACGGGATTGGGCCACATGCTAAAACAACATGCTCATCTGGGAGCGAAATCAGCTTGGTGAGACACCTGAGCAGGCTCCGAGTCAAGATCGTAGCCGGTGTCGTTTTTGGTATCCACTGCATCCTGGCACGTGCAGCCTGTCCCGGCTGGGCCGCTGAGCCCATTTGCAGAATTATTAACATTGATTGTAGACGGGTACGCACAGCCGCATATATGGGCTACGTTCTGTGGGTGATCTGGGGTCTGACAGGAGAAGAGCCAAACAAATGCCATTTTAGTCTCCAGCTGATCACTCTCGCGAAGCCGATCACTCCCGCTTTCCATAGAAAGCTGCCTCCTTAAATACTGTTTTATCCCGTCTCCCAAGGCGTCTCCACATGCTGCTGCTGTCAGGGAAGCTATGAGTGCTGCCGTGCATAAATATCCCTTGCTTAAAGTTTCAAAAGGAAGGGGTTGATTGTGATGCCTTCATACTAAGAACGTGGAGGGATGGAGGATGAAAAAGACGCATGCGGGGGAGATATCACTGTTGGCGCTATTTGAAATAACACTCACCGCATCTTTCTTTCCCTGCTGTCCCCCATCGGCGCATCATGCTACAACTGCGCGCGCAACAGGTGAATCAGCGGGTAAGTATGCACCTCCCAAGAACTTGTAGCTTTCATTCTTTGGGAACCACTCTGCCTTGCGAGTTGAACATGGAAGCAGAGGATGAAAAGGTGCAAGTTGTGGAGGTCGACGACGCGTCAGATGAAAACGAGAATGAAGAACCGTGTCGTGGGGGTGAGGAACGACGGGTATTGGTGGAGCGGCGCGAGGTAGGATTGTTAAATCTTGATAGTTAGACTTGTTTGATCAATTGGGTATATTGGATGGTGCGGATAATGAGTATGACTGTAGGTTGGCGGAAGGAGCAGCGGTATTCGTCATGAAGTGTTGTAGTTTTGATGCGGACGCCCCAGTACTAGTGTGCTGAAGTTCATTCCTTGGTTGTGGGTTTGAATGAACAGATGAGTTGAGAACAGCGCTCAGAGCTGAGTCTAAGTTCTTCCAATCACCATACGTGAATGCAGGTCTGCTCGTGTGAAAATTGGGCGTTGGGCAAGCAAAACCGCTTGTCTATAACTCTCATTATACATACATCATCAACGTAGAACTGATGCATAAAGCTCTACTTGTCTCGGAAGTTCTCATGGAGATATTCTCCCATTTGACCCAATCGATGTCACTCGATTCATCAACCATCATGATGTCCCTGGACCGGAAATCCCTTGCAGCGCTTGCAAGGACATCCAAAACCTTGCACGAACCCGCAATGGATTTGCTTTGGGCCAAGTTGTATGGGATAGAACCACTGCTAGGTTGTGTAACGAGGCTACATCCAATCGTATATCGTACCGATGGTCAAAGGGTCAGTGCGGATTCTGCCCATTTCATTTCATTCATTTGCAGGCTCACCCCCGACCATCTAAATGTAGTACTACCGTCGGTTTGAATGCGTCGAACCATTATCTGAGCATGAAGCCCGTCTATTTCTGCATCATGCCTCTCGTGTTCGCTCATTGAAAATACGGACCGACGACCCTTTGCACCTTCTCTCAGTCCTTCCGATCGAGACATGCATGTTCCCGAGATTGCTGTCGTTATCAACGGATCGCGATCCAAATAGATACTTGCATCTCTTCCTATCCCCCACGCTACGTTGTTGCGACTTGCCCGTCGTTCATCCGGAATTGAAATCTGTTGCGACCCGTTGTGCTGATTTGGATGACTTCTCCATCATTTGCCGGAGGGAGTGCACAGCAGATGAACTGTCCATCATGTCCGAAACTGTCCGTTCGTGTGGGCGGCTCCAACAACTGTTTTGCGTGCCGCTCGATCGGGCAGCATGGATCCACCTCTCCAACATCCGCACCCTTCGCACAGTGTGGATTGGGGGAGAGTGTGTTAACACGCTGGGCCGGGACAATCTCGATTTCACGCGTTTCCTCAACATTACATCCCTTTCGTTCTGTGCGAAAACTGCGTACATTCTCGAAGTCCTGGAACACTCAGAATTCCCCTCGCTAAACAAGTTCCGGATGGATGTGCTTGTTTTACCTTCTGCAGAGGCTGAACAGCTCTTTTGTGCACTGTCACGGTGCAACACATCCCACACCCTTGAAGACGTAGTCATCTTTTCTGACCAGCTAGGAGCACTGGAGCCCTCTTCAACGGCGATTAGACAATTTTTTGGTTTCTCGCAGCTGCGAATCCTGCGGCTTCGTCCATGGTCCGTGTTCAGCGTGTGGGCAGGGGCGGGAAGCGGCGGGCAACAGGTGGTTGTGGCAGTGATACGGCTGTATTCAGCCACTGGCGACTTCAAACTCCGCAAACTGTGCTGAGTGTGCACCCAGACTTTGTCGCAGACGCAGACTCCAGGTCTGCGCAGACCTGCACCCAGACCGGCCATTTCAGACTCGTCCTCGGTAACCTAGTAGCGCGCGCGGTAATTGCCGAGTCTTTGGTTTGGCTCAGACTCCCAGAGCTCATCAAGCAACGCAACCCACGTATTGTACCATCGCAACCCTCGGACATGTCCCAGCGATGGCTAGACGAGGTTTCTGAGCATAGGCTTTTCGCATGGTGAGGAAACAAATTCACACTGATTTAGTGCTACTACAGCTGGAAAAGAGGGTACAACTTTAATTTGAAGGTCTGACAACCGTGACGGTCAGCATCGGCCCCTCTCGGGTCCAGATATCATCCCAGATGTGACGACACCAACCTTATAACCTTTTCTGACAAACAACAGGAATAATATTATCAATTATGCCGCACCTCTCCTCTCCCTAGTACCTCTCTCCCTGACTTCGCGCCTTCACACGGCTATGATCCCTCCGTAAGCCTGGGCCCAGCTGGCCCAATTTGAATAGGGATACAAAAAAGGACGGACTTTTGAGGTGTTGGCAAAGTCGTACACATGGCACTATGGGGGTATATCGCCACATTAATGTGCAAGTATTGGTACATAGCTTAAATAATAGAATGTCTGAAATCTACCAGTTAGACGTCCCCGCCACGTCAGTCAGTGCTAGCATTTGCGGCCTGGAGTACAACCACCCCAGTCGCACAACCAGAGGCAAAAAACGCAGTCGCAGCACCCCCGATAGTCTTCCTCATATCAACCTGCCCAACACTACCCCGCTCCTCCAGGATGTTCTCCAGCTCCGACATGTGATCGTCCGATCCAAAGCGCGGCGAGCGCCCAACAACGACCAAAACAGATTTGCGTGTAGATGCCAGCTGGATGGCGGAATGTAGCGGTGTCGTTGACGAATGCTCAGAGAATCTGATCCGGGACAGGGCAGCGCGAATTGAGGGGTGCATGTCGGACGATGCATGTGAGTCGACATATTGTGCCCAGAGGATGCTATCGGCTGTCTCTGACTCAAAGCGTGTTTGACCATAAGATGTGTTTGGCAAAACGACAGTCTACAAGAGTTGCATCAGGAAAAGGCAAGAAGCACATGCAGTTAACGTACTGATTGAATAGGCATTCCGTGATATCCTGGTCTCCGCGTTACATCACTGTCTTCCTCCTCTGGACGTGGGATCGACGGCCATTGAAGTACAGCACGCTCAGCGCTGTGTCTCAACATCCGCACTACCGTCGCACTGACGTTGGGATTATCACAGAGCTGCATCACAAACTCAAGTGCAAGTCGATCATCCGGACCGCCAAAAAAGGGGAAAAATATGTGTCGTGCACTCCCAGGATCAGTACCAGAGAGTGAAGCACCTGGATCGATGAAAAGGGCAACATCTGTCTTGCTGTCTGCTAATACTCTGCGCACAAACTGCGAGTGGACAATGGGTGCGGGAATAATGCCTGTCCCTTTTGAGCAGCAGAAGAATCTTTGGAATAAATTTGGTTCGATCCTCGTGCTGTGTGGGCTACGCGAGTCTTCAGTCGTATCTCCGGAGTCAGACGGCAGCGGTGGGAGCAATTGTAAGAGGATGAGCTCAGATCCATACCGTGTCGCATGATCGGAGACAGCATTTGACATGTCCTCGTATGGGACAATAGAAAGTGAAAGCGAAACGCGTATACCATTGAGCTCTCCAAAAGTGCGAAAGACGCCCAGAGCCGGGTCGGTGTGGATGAGGGTATTTACTGCTGAGGGCTTCCTGATGTCCGAAACTGACATCTCAATCAAACGGAGGGCGTTCATGCATACCTCACTTTCTTGAGAAGTTGTGCCCAAGGGTGACGGTAATATCAGTTGAGTGGCTGCCAGCATTCCCGATGCATGGTCCAATTTGTCGAGGACAACAGTGAAGCGGGAGCGCCATGGTCGATCCTCAGTAATGTGAGACTGGTGACTGTCTATATCTTCCTCCCTGTCGGTAATCGACCGCCGTGAAATACCTCCAGATAGCGCACGAGCCCGTCGGCGTTCAGGAGGATAAAGGAAGGAGACCAGGGGTGTGATCATGAAAGTCAGGACTAAAACTTCGAGGACAAACATTGAGAACACCCTTTCGGTGAAAATGCCGGCAGCGAGCCCAATGTTGAGAACGATCAATCCCACAGGACTAAAATATGTCAGGACGAAATATTATAGAGGAAATTAGACAGCTGACCCTTTACAACTCATCAACGATCCAACAGTGCTTGAGTCTCGCCAACTCATCCCGGAAACCCGAGCAGTGATTGTACAAGCACTGAATTTTCCAGCAAAGTCCAGACATATGATTGCGATCGTGAATCCCCAAGTCACGCCTGCCACAAGCGTCGGTATATGATCAATGTATGTCACTACGGCATGACATACCGTTGTTAAGCAATCCAAAGTCGGTATTCAACCCGGAGAGTGTGAAGTACTGTTAGGCGGTGAGCCGTAGCGAACGCAGCAAATTCAGCGCCCATACCACAGGCAAAAACACGATTGACACCATATCTTCAAGCTTCTCCTTCAGCAAGTTGGCAAGTCCTCCTTCGCGTGGAACGATAATTACACCCGCCAGGAACGCACCTAAACACAAAATAAGATTAGCTTCCGAACAGTGACATAAATTGCTCACCAAGAATAGCGTTGACCCCCACAGCAGCCGCGAAGAAAGCACATGCCCAAAGAATAATCACAGTAACAATCATAAAAGATATCGTGGGTCCATTCTCCGTACTTCCTGTGAGCCTAGCGAACCGCAACAGTGCGATTCTAACCGGCCACATGAGAAATACTGTAAATGCCACACACGTCAGCAGGATCCATAAAGCAGTAAGCCCGGAGGTCGCATTGACGAGGGCCACCGCTAGTGCCAACAGACTCCAACACACTACGTCGTTGCACGCGCCAGCTGACAGGACAATGACGCCGACCGTCGTGTCTAGGAGCTTCAGTGCGCTGAGGACGTGATAAAGAGCGGGAAAAGTGTTGATAGAGAACGACAGCCCGGTGAAAAGCATAAAGTATGTTAAGTTGACGGAGGGATCAATGAAATTGCGGTAGAGTGGCACAGAGATGGCAGCACCGAGACCAAAGGACAAGGCCATGGCAGAGAGTGCAACGGACAAAGATAAACGAGCATTACGCTTGATGACGCTCGTGTCGATTTCAAGACCGATTATCAAGAAAAATAGGCAGAGGCCAATGTTGGCAACTACCGAGAGATGTGGAAGGGACTGAGCGGGGAAAATGTGCTGGGTGAAACCAGGGATTCGACCCATGGCAGTAGGACCTAGGGTTCGATGAGCAACTGTTAGTACGATATGAGAAATGTCCTGACCGAGGAGAATTCCACCCATTACTCCAGCGATGACCTTCGGCTGTCTGATCTTGCTCAAACCAAGTGACAGTAGTTGCACCGTCATAATAATCGTACCTGCAGTAGGCTTAAAATGATGCTGCAGACGCACTTGAAACAGAAGATGCTCACCCATCTGAATTATCCATACCCTCAGGGAATCTGATGTGCCGAACGTTGCGGGATCTACTCCTGACAATAAGCCACCCTACAGCGTTCTTTAATTGTGCACAGACAGGGCATTGTAGAAGAAATGCTCACCTGGCCGGTGACTTCCCCCTTCCAGATTCGAGAGACAAGATCATTCGAGATTTTAGGCGGCATGGATTAAAATGGATGAGGGTATATCTTGAATAGTCTGCACTAGTCTGCACTTGTAGTACTACTTGTGAGAGCGGAGTTCCATATCACCACCCAGAGTTGTCACACTGGCGGCCTTGTGACATCGTCTCGCTATAAGCTCCTGTGAAGTCGCTAAAGGAGAATGGGAAGATGGGGTCACTTCTGAACTTCCTGTACTCTTCTGCCAGCAAAACCGGGAGGTCTGCCGGATGGCGATATAGTCCGTGTTCATACGCAGGGTTCGAGGGTGTTCGCGGTAGTGCAATTTTTCCAACAATGAAACGATTGGCTGATTATGGTGTGCGCGTGTTGGGCGGGCGCTATGTTGGGCGAACCCCGGGGTCCTCGCAAGTCCTCGCCCATCAGCGGAAACAAATCACGCGCCCATCCAGCTGCTAGCTCAAGTATCGTGATGGCAACCATCATAACTATGACAGCCGTTCGTGTGATGGGGGGACGATGATTGGTGAATGCCCGTATCTGCGTCCCATAGCCTAGCAGGCTGATGCCACCGAGAAGGTCACCCGTCACTAAATACTGATGTGGATACTGCAAAGTGCTGCGCAGACTGAAATGTTCACCATATTGGGGTTCTCCAGGAGTGGTGACTTGAACCTCGCTCATGGCTCCAGTGCCACCAACCAATACTGTGGATTCGAATTTGCTCCAAAATCCAGATAAGTTGACGAGTCTTAATTTGGGGTTGGAATTGTAGCTACCAGTAATTGTTGGTGGAGGCCCTGAGAGGAGTGTCACTCGCATTGAACTTCAAGAGATCCATTTCAGCACGAATCTGAAGGCATACCACACCTGCAAGCACTGGAAGCTAGATTAGCCTCGAATTTTCTCATCGGGGTTGCACGCAATCATAGCGGCTAAAACTCACCGTAATCGTGAAGATCGAGTGCATGGAAATGGGGCCTTGGCGTCTGCCGGCAGCACTGAGTCCTGCACCGAGCATTAGTCTCGAATGGTTTAGCAGTTAATAGCAATGCATTTGAAAGTCTAAGTGTCCCCATGCACCAGGACTCCGGGAGTCACAGAGCAAAAGGCTCAAATACAAACAAAATCGTGGAGTCGAGATGATTCGTCGACATCACATAACATGATGTCACTTATCCACAGAGCTCCAATGCTACTCGATTGTGCAACTATTGCAGGTAAGGAATGTACCGCCTTCAGTCAGCGCTAACATTCGCAGCTAGGAGCATAACGAACGGTTGCACCCCCACGAGGCGATACACGCAGTCGCAGCATCCTAGCGAGAATTTGGATTAGGATGTTACCGGTGATATACATAGACGTTAAGGAGCCAAGGACGATACCACTGGCTTGGAAATGATGATCCATTGAGGTAAGGCCAGCTCCACAGGGATGAAATAGATATCTCGAGCGAGTTGGACCAATGGCATGCATGGATTCAGTGTAGGGTGATAGCGAGGTGGGCAGTGCGCGGACCGGTGAATGTTGAGCCCTCCAAAATTCGCTACTCCGCGCATTAACACGATAATGATGCAAGGACGGTTCTGGTGCAGACGTCGGGGAAATGTAGTTGTGTAATGTATAATACCGGAGGCGGATGCTGAAGCGAAGCGCTGAAGAGCGCGATGGATGTTGTGGTCAAACTAAGTAGAGCTCAGTTGAAACTTTGTTGAAACTGTTGGCAATAAGCAATATCAATACCTCTCGGCAGCGGCCGGGTCCGCTTCAAAAGTCCAAACAAATATGATATTAAATAATAAATGGTAATCATATCTTGCACAATGTCCAGTCCGTTGGTTGTCAATGCAGGGACTGAAAATGGCACAAGAAGCGTTGCGTAGTGCCATCTAGTGCCATCGTCCTTTGATCAAAAGTCTCAAAGCCTATATAGAAATAACGTTAACTGTACTATTTAAATTTATGATACATGATTTACAATACAGCGAAGAAATTCGGAGGCGATAATCATGATCAAGAGTTTCCGGAGATACCCGCTCATGATCAGTCAGATAGCATTATACAAGTGAAATGGATCCCCTCAGTGAGTCACTTCAGTCAGTCAACATCAACATTCGAAGCCTGGAGCACAACGACAGCAGTCGCACACCCCGAAGCAACAAACGCAGTCGCAGGATCACCGATTGTCTTCCTGACAACATCTTGCCCCACGCTACCCCGCTCCTCCAAAATCTTCTGCACCTCCAATGTATGATCCTCACCCGCAAGGCGCCGTGAGCGCCCAACAACCACCAAAACAGGCTTGTGCGCAGACGCTTGTTGGATGGCAGAATGTAGCGGTATCGGCGATGAATGCTCGGAGAATGTGATCCGGGAGAGGGCTGAGCGCAACGAGGAGGGTGTGTCATCCGAGGGTTGAGAGTTGGCGTATCGCGCCCAAAGGATGCTATTGGCTGTCTCGGATTGCATAACCATTTCAGTGTTGGCCTGGCCATAAATCGTGTCTGGAAAAACGACATTCTACAAAATATGCGTCAGAAAATGGGCGAGAATGAAATCCAGCGTAACGTACTGAAGGGACAGGCATTTGGTATCCTAGATTCGGCATCTCTAAACTTGCTTTCTCCTCTAGATGCGCGAGCGACGGCCTTTCAACTGCAGCACTCTCGGCACTACTTTTTGACATCCTCACAACCGTCGCACTCATTCTGGGATTAGAACAAAGTTGCACAACGAACTCGAGCGCAAGCCGATCATCTGGGCCGCCGAAAAATGGGCAAAATATGTGACGCGCACTCCCAGTACCGGCACCGGCCGGATCGATGAACAACGCAACATCCGTCTTGCTCTCTGCAAATACCCTGCGCACAAACTGCGACTGGGTCGCGGTTGCAGACTTACCCCTGTTTTTCGACCCGCCGAAAAACGCTTCGAATGGATTCGGGTCGTTTCTCGGGCTGGACAGGTCTTCGCTTGGATCGCCAAAGTTGGACGATGGTGATAGCCACGGCAAGAGGACGAGCTCAGATCCATGCCGTTTTGCGTGATCAACGACAGTATTCGGTATGTCGTCATAAGGGACAATAGAAAGCGAGAGTGAAACCGGTATATCATTGAGTTCTCCAAAGGTGCGGAACACACTCAGGATCGGGTCAGTGTGGATAAGGGTGTCAACTGCTGAAGACTTCATGACGTCCGAGGTACGGTCTGACAGCTCAATCAAACGGAGAGCGTCCACGCTGGCCGCAGGCATCTTAATCTTGTCAGATGCCCTCGTCGACTCAGCTGATGGGAAAGAAGGTGTCTCAAGAGAAGGCGGGCACACCAGTTGAGTGGCCACCAACATTCCCGACATGTGATCGAATTTGTCGAGGACAACGGTGAAGCGAGAGCGCCATGGTTGATCCTCAGTCATAGGAGACTTGCGATCGCTCTTATCTTCGTCCTCATCTGCAGTTGACGCCCGTGAAATACCTCCAACTGGTGCACGAACCCGGCGTTCGGGAGGATAAAGGGTAGAGACGAGGGGCGTAGTTATGAAAGTTAGGACCAGCGCTTCAAAGACAAACATCGAGAACACCCTTTGCGTGAGAATGCCGGCAGCGAGCCCGATGTTGAGCACAATCAATTCAATAAGACTGAAAATTGTTAGTAAGTAGATAAGATTGAGAAATTAGATAGCTAACCCTTTGCAACTCATCAATGATCCGACGGTGGCGGACTCTCGCCAGGTCATTCCGGTAATCCGTGCGGTGATCGTACATGCGCTGAATTTGCCAGAAAAGTCTAGACATATGATTGCAATGGTGAATGCCCAAGTGATGCCTGCCGCAATGGTTCGTGAATGATCGATGCGAGTATGGTTAGCAAAACAGACCGTTGTTGAGCAATCCGAGGTTGGTACTTAACCCGGAGATTGTGAAGTACTGCGAACCAATGAGTCTTATCGAATATGACAAATTCAGCACCCATACCAGAGGTAAAAATACGATCGTCACCATATCTTCAAGCTTCTCTGTTAGCGAGATGGCAAGACCGCCTTCACGGGGAATAACGATTCCCGCCAGGAACGCCCCTACATCAAAAATAAGGGGTTGAACCTCGGAATCACATATAATCACTTACCAAAGATAGCATTGACACCTACAATGTCCGTGAAGAACGCACATGCCCAAAGAACAAGTATAGAAACTGTCATGAAGAACATAGTGGGTCCATTCTCCGTACTTCCTGTGAACCTAGCCAACCACAGCAGCGCCAATCTAACCGGCCACATAAGAAATATTGTGAATGCCACACATGTCAGTAGGATCCATAAAGCAGTAAGTCCGGAGGTCGCATTGACGAGGGCCACCGCTAGTGCCAACAGACTCCAACCGACTACGTCATTGCACACACCAGCTGACAGGACGATGGCGCCGACCGTCGTATCTAAGAGTTTCAATGCGCTGAGGATGCGACAAAGAACGGGAAATGCGGTTACAGAGAACGTCACGCCGATGAAAAGCATGAAGTGTAAAAACTGGACATTGGAAGGAATGAAGTTGTGGTAGAGTGGCACTGAGATGGCAGAACCGAGACCAAAAGACAAGGCCATGGCAGAGAGCGCAATGAAGATGGACGAGCGAACATTACGCTTAATGACGCTCGCGTCGATTTCAAGACCGACTATGAAGAGAAACAGACATAGACCAATGTTGGCAACAAGAGAGAGATATGAGAGGGACGAAGCGGGAAAAATGCGCTGGGTGAAACCAGGGATTCGTCCCATGGCAGTAGGACCTATAATTGAATGAGCAGTTGCTACTACGATATGAAAAATGACCTGACCGAGGAGAATTCCACCAAGTACTTCAGCGATGACTTTCGGTTGCTTGATCTTGCCCAAAAAAAGTGACAGCAGTTGCCCCATCATAATAATTATACCTGCGGTTGGCTTTGAATGATGTGGTAGACTTGGTACACAAGATGGGCATACCCATTTGAATTATCCATAGTCTCAGGGGATCCGAGGTGGTGAACGTTGTGGGATTTACTCCTGACAATAAACCACCCTATGGCGTCCTTCAGTTGTGTATAAACGGTGCGTTCCAGAATAAGTGCTCACCTGGGCCGTGGCATTCGCCCTCTTCGCGAGGCCAGACGCAAGACTAACGACTGCATTTGAGAAGTCAGGCATAGGACAAATATGGGCACAAGCTGCCCTAGGTGGTGAGTCTGAGACAAGCTTTGACCGAACCAGTGATAGTGATGCTCATTGAGAGCGGAGTTTATATAGAATCGCCTTTTACAAAGTTCGAAACATTTTCAATGATCTACGTAAGATGATGTGAAAGTGCCAAGAAAGGGCGTCAGGCACATTACCATGGGACCGGCACAGAGACCCCAAATATGGAAATCGGTATCCCGATTCGGCACGGAGCAGGTGTCAGTGTTCAGCCTAGTTCCTGGACGGTACGCCAGGTACATAAACCCCAGCCAGGACTAGCTGACAGGACTTCTCCGCATCTCCAGGGTCCAGCATATCCAACTCAGCCTACGAGAGCGTCCGTCCGCTGGGTGCTCAAAGGGAAATTTATTGACTCAATGACATCTCACATAGACAACGTGATCGACGAACACCAGCAGTCACGACTTCAAAATCGTGAGCCTTGCGTACTGTTTTCACACTGGCGACCAAATCTTTACACTCTCGCGATACGTGTTACGAACGAGACTGCGACAATTCCCAACTTCCGAACTTCATCCCCCCGGATTCCTGCCACCTTTCAGCTAACATTCGGTCTGTCCTTTCTGGCTCGCTGACCCAATGTCATAGCCCCAGCTTCCAAGTTCCGTGCCATAATTCAAATTTTTCACACGCCGGTCCTACCGTGACCGTCCCAGAGCGTCATAAGGTACGAAATCGTATCTCTGGAACCGCTAACGACACTAGGGCTCGCTGAGGAGAGAGATAGGTGATTTCTCGGCATTTGAAGATAGTGACAAGGTCACCGCAGATTGAGTCGATACCTCGATGGAGTTGTATGCAAAGGGCCATGCCAAGGTCAATGCGGACATTATCTAGTCCGGTTCCGATGGCGACGACAATCCAATAGACCCAATGATTAATTACAGGTGCATATCTTCTTTATTTGTGCCAGCAGCTTTGAACACGCCCCCTGAGGCCTGAGGGTCCAGGGATACACATGGATACACGCGAATTTCACATTATTCGTGTCAGCCTATACGAGACAAGAAGTAAATACGAATGGCCAAGATTTAAGGCTATCACCTTCCCAGCGATTCGTTATCCCAGCCCACGAAAATTTCCTTTACAAGGATCATAGAACTGGTACCCGTCCTAACGGATAATCATGTTCATCCGGGCCGCAGCTTGTTTCCTTTTGCAATAATCGCCTCCAAGAAAATCACCTCTTTGTCAGTTCCAGTTGTGATAAGACATTTTGAGTTGTTATCATGGCAGTTGCCAGGTATGATCGAGGTGAACAGATGTTATATCTCCACAGCCCGTATCCTCATACAACATAGTGATCTATTTGAATTTGATGCCTATCACTGGCCAGCTGACGTGCCCCGTTGTACAAGATAGGCGAGGGGAGACGCTCTAGTCTACTTCTAAGTACTTCTACTACACTACACAATACGCTATGTATGAACAAATGCCAGAAACTGGCAAAGTACCGTTCGAACAGTTTACAAGGAAAACGCAACTGTGCGCGTAATGCAGTAATCTCGGGTCTGGCCACCCTCTCAAGGCATGGCTGGCGCAGCTCGCTGCTACCAGAATGTAGCTGTTGAACCCTAGAAGCGCTGCAGTGATATAGCTCAGCAACATATCTGAGACCATCGTAGAGGCTCCTTACCTAGGGCAAGCGGCCAAGCATCTGGTAAGGCTATGTGCCTCTATGGTTATATGTGTGCGTAAGACCCATTTAGGGAGTAAGTCGAGCTTCGTTTAGATCTTCCACTGTGACCATACGACTCTCTCTGGACAGTAAAGATGAGGATAACAGTCCAACAACGAAACACTGGACTCACCTCCCGCAACTGATTATACAAGTCGAACGACAGGTTAAGGCAGATGTCGCCCAGAGATACCGCCCTTGAGAGACTTTCTCTTGTTCTCTTATCAAGAAGCTGATACATGACGGTCCTCATTGCTTGTATGCTGCGAACACGAGTAAGATAGTTGTGCATTGGAGAGGATCTTGCAACTCTTACCGGCTAAGTTGTGCGACATCGCTCTCGTTCCCGTAACTCATCAGCGCAGTACATTGTCGTAGCACCTCACTGGTCTGGTGATACCAGGCCTGGACCATTTCCCGGGTGCCCATCGGGCAATCGGAGGCATACTCCACAGAAGAACCTTGATACACAAACTTTTGAGTAATCGTGATAGACATGACAGGTAATGAGCTTCAAGGGGGGGCAGAAGGAATTGGTAAGTTGGCTGGAGATTGACCGGTTGAGCGCGCACCTTATATCTTTCTCAGCATAAATGGTTCCAGAAGCGAAACAATCAGGTGCTAAGGGGTACAGCGTAGCAGGGAATCATCCCCACAAAAGTGGGTTTGGTAACTCTTGTACGGACCGTCCTTCTAGCAAGGCACCACAGAGATGGATGCATGCCTAGACAGTCGAAGCGCCTACCGCTTCCGCCGCACTGTAATCCTTGTTCTGTTGAAACAATACTATGTGTGTGGGGTTTCTATGACAGCACGTAGATAGGCGGGATCATATAACTATGTCGGGGGCTTGTTGTTTCATCGTTGTGAAACGTGTTATGATGTACGAACAAACCGGCGGTGAAGACAAAAGCGATGCTCGGGTTAGGTTCGGCTCCCTAGTACTTCTGGGCGACAAATGGGTGCACTGACACCTTACGTGTACGAATGAGACAAGTGTTCTAATTTCTTCACGGTATATATGCTAACAAAGAATGCGCCCAACAAATGATTCGACATATCCGCCAGCACAGAGCGCTGGGGTAGAGACATAGAGTTTTTTTTCGCCCAAGCAACCGAGGATCCAAGCGGAGTGCGACGACCTGTCACTGAAAAGGGGACCTCCGGGAGATTACAAAGCTCTGGGGATCAATCGTGACAAGATATTCATCTGTTTGAGCCACTTTATCAGCTTTATCTGTTCTCGCTCCATACCCTTTCCCTGGGCAGAAGAAGTACGATCAGTCTCCCAAAATTCTACGAGATAGCTATCCATACCATGCAAGAAAGCATATCTTTGAGTCCACCCATTGTAATCAGAGCGGTTCTCTCGCTTAAATAACTATCCCAAAGGTGATTAAGTCATGCTGACCACTAGGTGTATCCACGACTTACTATAGTCAATTTTGTGCTAAGGTACTGGGCTTGAAAGCAGTATTTCTTTGCCTCGGTGAGTCGCTTTTCATAGCTACGGCGTGTATTTTTCAAAAGTATGTCGTTCATGTGTCTGAGACTGAACGGTGGGATAGTCAAGGACACCATTAATTATCGACCGAATGCAGCTTACGAAGAGTGTTGGACATGATCAGTGTCGCTGCTATACTTCAGATACTCCTGGCAATAATCGAGGATGAGTTTGGTGCTATCGTGCCACTCTGTAACTTCGTCGCATTCGGGATCCTCCCAGTCGGTGTCGTCACAGGAGAGTGACATGGTTTCCAGTTGATGTTGTAAGTAAACCTGAGGGATGAGATGGTGGGCTGAAAGGCGGAACGCACCTTACTTATATATTGTAAGCACAGGCCCACAGGATGTACGCATACAGATGTGTTTCACTGCTGTGTAGCAAAAACCTGAATGCCATTCACTGGAGAACTCCGCTTGCGTACTGTTCGAGTCAGCCACCTACCTTTCTGGCCACGGCAAACAAAATAGACAATAGTATTGGTACTTGCGTCGTGGCACGGCCGCCACATGCCACTTATTCAGAACACAAGCCCATCGGTGAAGACCGCCTTGATAACATCCTGTGAGGGTCTACGGAGGGTCACGATGATCGAGGGAAGCGTGGGACCAGCTATCATGTTGCTATCGGTGTCATGTAGTACGGGTCTCAGTCACTGGTATCCGAGTCATCAGCAGACAATTCCGAGTCACCACGTAAACTCTAAAAGCCATTACTGACCAAGGAATATGTGGCGGTTTCCTTGCATGTTTGGAAAGGGCTGGGCCGCAATATATATATATCGATCCTATGGCAAGGTGCCACGACACAGTGCACTTCTTGCTTCTGAGTGACGCCTACGCAGTGTCCGCCACATCTATATAGCTGACGTACGTCTTGTCGAGAGAAGAGTTGATTCGTGGCATCCAAACCAACTCGCGTTCATGGTAATACAAGGCTGTAAGGCTGGGCTGGTCGTGAGGGTGGTAACTGGTAAGTAGGCTGGTCCCGAGCTCCACACACTGGCAGTTCGACGCCCAAAAAGGTAAATTGAATACCCGTACGTAGTAATACGGACCAGCCCTAAACATCACATGACCTGGCAGAACTCCGGAGCACATTTTCCACCAAAACAATTAGAAGATGAGTTGATGGACACAACCTGACACAACACCACATACTGCCATAGCGGGAATCTGTCTCTGGAGTGTGTTCATCGACTTCGCAGGCGTACTGGTCTACTGAACACTTGTGGCGTGGATGAATAGTACCCCGGATTTGACGCTGCTCTCTAGCCTTTGCAGCACCCCCTTCCTGATCGCCAACAAGGACACAATAAACTTGTATTAAGATCAACTTCTATGCGCGCATGAAAGCCTCAAGATCTACCTGTGCGTCCGATAGGTTTGCCCATGAAGGCCTTCTTGACGATCTATATTCTCCTGAACTAGCGACTTCTACAATGTCTGAGTCGATAAACATCCGAGTCCGTATTGACGCACTACGCATCATTGATTGTGATACACAACATCCGCTTCTGTACTGCGCCTTAGTGTTATGACGACTCTTTGGAATCATGAGATTTGTATGTTCATCGTCCCTTATAGTTACCATTACCATACAGATCTTATTCAGAACGCAGATATTCCTGTTACCCTCGACCTGGAAGCAGATGAGCCTCCTCTGCCCAGATTGAAGACTTGACCCTGGGTCAGCAGCAGATCAACGTTCGCGCATGCATAGTCGAAGTGCACCATCAGGCGCCCACGCAACTGAGTTGTTGGTTGCTCGGCTGACACTTAGCTGGGTGGCCCTTGAACTTCGCGACGCACTCACTCTCTTGTGCCTGGTTTATAGATTTCGATGTTGCTGTCTGTTGCAGCGGTGGATACCGAATGCAGTTGACCTATTGCAACACTCGAATGGATTTCCTTGCATCTGGCACTCGGGAATCTAAATTTAAATCTAATCGTAAGTACGTCAAAATGCTACACCGCTGGAAGGTTTATAAAATGGAGGGTTCTTCTGATCAGTTTCGAGATGTAAGCTGGGCTTTAAATCTCTCCAGGCTGCAACGACTGTCTGTGGACCCACTGAGCGGAAGATGTACCCGAACAATTGTCAACAACAAGAGTCCTCCCAGACAACAACACATAGTGGGTCCAGTTCTGCACGGGGTTGTGTCATTGTTCCGGATGACATCATGTCACCGCAGCGTATGATGACAACATAATTGTTTGCCCTGGTTCGATTGTCCTTCTCACAGTCGACAACGAACTGAATTGTTGTTGCAGGCCCTGCACTACGAACTTGATTGAGTTGAGTTTGTGTCATGTTGTTGGCCACAGGCGGCCCACGTATACTTTCCCTAATCAATTGAACCCAGTTTAAAACTTCAACGTCCCAGTCACTGGCAGTTGAGTCCGGCGGACGCCTTGTTTTGTCACATCAATTACTAGGGTGCGGCTACCATGGAATTCCTCGAAACTGCATTTTGTGTACAACGAGCTGTCTATTTGCCTCATCGATTTATCAACCACGGAGCTCGGTCTGATTCGTTCTACAGTGAAAAGTCACCTCTAGACCTATATGTTGGACGCGGTTACTGAAGTGACACGATATAGCAGAAGCTGTCAGATCCTTTTGGGGGGGACACCCACCAAGGCACGGTGGTGACCTGACAAGTGCTTGCAATCTACGTCATAGTATGCGGGGCGCAGGGCTGGGGGTACGAAGAAACTAATAGTTTTCCACTACAAATGTGCACTCGATATGCACCCATTTCAATCGTTATGATGTGCTGAGATTATTGTTGGTTACAGAAGATTTCAAGACAATTCTTGAGCGGACAGACCGTAGGGCAGGCAGCAAGTACACGCATGCAATCAGATACAAGTTGCAGAAGACATAGCTGCTCCCGCATCATACATGTACTCACCAAGAACATGACTGCACAAAGAATTTCAGGTGGGCTCAGCGAACTCGAGATGGACAATCACGGCTCCTGTACCTGTGACCGATGTAAGGCCCAGTTCACAGGCTATGAATCCGTTGACAGATAAACACTTACATAGTGAGCAAAATTTTACGACTCTATGTGAATCGTTGAATGTCACATTGCGGAGCGCTTGCAGTTAGTACTATAACAAATACCTTTGGCGAAAGTGGTCGGAGTCGTAAACATACACGCTTCCCAATCTCCTATGATTTCGAAGTCCTGAGGCACCGAGGCTTCAGTCCTGTCGGCCACACAAAGCATGGGGTCTCTTGTAAACTTTGAAGGACGCATCTGACATGAGCCAAACTATCAATTATTCATTGCAATTGTATGCAAGCACGAAATTGCAAAGCACCTAACATAGACCTGAACTCGAATTTAGTGAGACGTTAGGGATGATATCAGCGTGTTATTGGTATAAGTGTGGTAGGCAGCTACTTGGGTATACAACGAAAATTTGGTTTCTTCGGATGAGTTCAACTCCCTTCCAAAAATATGCTTCGGAATACAGAACAAACTATATGAAGTACCACGATGAAACTTCGAACAATTTCCTCCTGCTCCCAGCATATTACCCAGCAAGCATTTCCGGTGTTACACACCGCTGCCAGTTGACACATGTACACGTTCCTGGAAAGCAATTGAAGTCATGCCGGTTGCTGCATCGGAGTCGGCCACCAGCTTAGCGTGATATTCTCGAACACTAAGGATGAGGCGTGGTCCCAGCACAAACATCTGTATGTATGAGAAAATTTCAAAAATACCGGTAGATATCTGAAATCCCACAGAATCTGAGTCGTAAAGAAATGATGAACAGCAGTTACATGCAGGTATCGGAGATAGATCGGCGTACCAAGACCTTTAGAGAGCTGTGTACTAAGGGCGCAGCAACAAACAGCAAAACTAGCATGTGCGGAACTTTAGCGGGAAAAGATCCACATTCAAATTACGAGCTCACCTTGCAAAGTAAACCACATGGGATTTTAGTAACATTTTGAAACAGTCCCCCACGATCCCTCCTGCCGAATGTTGTCGTAGTTCCCGGAAGTGTTTTACAGCAATCCAGATCGAAAGACACAGTACGAGGACCTCCCATATAGTGGTGAGTATCCAAGTCACATATATCAGGAGTAGGTCGTCCGCCTTATAGATATAAGTGCACCAATACGTGCCGGAGAGGATGAGCTCCTCTGATATTCGTCAAACGAGCCTGATTCTTTGAGATATAACTTAAGCTTACCCCCTGACATATACTTGAGCACTATTGCGACAATCACTCCGCAGGTAATGTTGACGGCCAGGAAGATTACAATGAGAAAGATAAGCATTCTTCTCGATCTCTGATACATGGCATGTATCCGAATGAGCATGATGACTTGCACAATGTTTCAGTCAATGTCACTGAGGTATTGCAGCAGAGTCACTCACCGCCTAGCATTGCAGCTACGATCACATTTATCCAATTTAATGTGGAGTACATCATAACGCCTGAAACACCCAATTAATGATTAACTCCGAAAGATCAAACATTCCAAAGGAACTCACACCTATTGTGGTCATTGTATTTGACCAAGAAATTGGTCGAGCATCGCACTCACCCCTGCATAGGAATAACAGTTACTAGAACAGGGACGCCAAGCATCATGGTATAATACGCACTGCATCTGTCACCGAGGATGCTATGTGCCACCGATTAGAAGACACGAAAACAATGTATAAAAGGAGACGTACCCATCATAATATTGATGCTAGTTGTGAGAGATGGCTGATTAGCATGACGCCAGCATGTCAACCCTGCAAACATACATATAATATGGTATTCCAACGTAGCGTATCTAGAACAAATCGGAGTCAGCACAATTGCCAGCTATGCATATAACATGGGCCGCATACACTGAGATACAAGACGGTTATCAGGGACCAGTGTTGCCTCTGTGCCGATATAATGGTATCGTCATGTCGTTTTCTGATACGGGACATAACTCACCCAGACCAGTTCAACCTATCAAACCATTCTTAGCGAGATGGTTGCTCCCATAAAAATGACATCAACCTACCTCTTGTCCGAATGTCAGTACTAGAAATATCATGAGGATATCAATGGCTCTGCTATAACATTTCGCTCACCCCAATCATATATCAGTGCTGTAGTTGAGGCAACTGCGAAATCACAATCAAGGTTAGAATGAGACATCATCGACATGACTGGCCTCCACGAACATGTGAAATAGCCCGATAATCGAAACGATTTGATCATCGGCCACCAACAGGGATCATTTGAGACTAGCGTCATTTTCGAGGGATGGGTGTATTAGTGAGTGGGGAAATTGGCGGACATCACGATGGATTTCGTGCTAGATATACCACCGGAATGATTTAACACTGACAAACTTGGTCAAGTAGTTCGTGAATTATGATGTCGGTGAATTGTGTCCAATTCCCGGTTTTGATTTTCTCGCCAAGCGTACTTGCATCGATTCAGCCATCGGACTATGATTGGATGACATCACAAGATGCAAAACACATGATAAGGGTTGTGCGACTCTGATGAGGAAGTGATGCCTGTGCACATATATCAATCATAAAGTTAATACGTCGGCGCTGCATCATATCTGCACAGCCAATTGGCTGAGAATCCGTAACCGGTACCGTCTGGTGAACTCAGAAATGAGGATACAGCCTCAGGGTAGAAAACGTGACTCCGATAGGCCTGTATGGCCGCATAACCAAGTAGGAAGCCTGGCCTCTTATTCTTCACATTATACAGGCTCACGTTGGAAATTATCATCGTCTTTCGGTAACCATCTTCGGTGCCAACTTGACCCGGTTCCTATATGCTGGAATGTGAGGTGTGTACGCGTAAGATGATGGAATCAACTCACTGTGGGACATTTATCAGAACACCACGGGTAGGGCAAAGCTAGCAATGGCAACAGATCGCCAGATCAAAGATAAACCACATAAATCCAGCTTATGGCTTCCAAGGAAGTTAAACTTCGTGATCGCGCGAGGACACGAAGCACTCGTAGGTGGGCCAGAGCATTACGTATGCTTTCCAGGTAACTTCTGCCCTGCTGATTCGGCGAGGTCCACCCTCAGAGGTGTTCTAAAATTCTTTTCGAACGGTCAGTTTACTCAGAGTGCTCCATGGCATCGTGATCAATGCGAATGAACGAATTGTGAACTCGGATCATGGTCGACGAGGCTAGAGCGCACAGTATACGTACTAGTATTGTAACCTGTTGGGTTTGAAGGCGCGAATTGACCTACCCTGAACCGCTCACGTGACCTCCATGGAACATATACCGCTGAATTGATGTTTTGAACAAAATACGATAGAAACCGTTCGGAGAGATGCGTCGGTCAAACAAATCACACAAGGTGCGTGCGGACCTGCTCAGTGACTGCACACACTCAGACTGGTTATGCAGGTTCCCAATGTCAAACTCAGACCCGCTCAACCACAATCCCGTCATGCCCAAGGCGCGCCATATGACCACAGCTCAGATTCCGAACTTATCCCTCCTGATGCGAGTATGGTTGATCTGTGTCCTAGACCGTTCAATGGAGTTACGCTCTGCGCGACGGGTACCATGGACAAGGTGCGCCGGTTCTGGTTGTAGCTGTGGCAGATCTGGTGAAGTTAATAGTGTATGGGAAGCCTACCTTGTTTAAACAGGCATTTGAACTTGGCGCAACATCTACCAGTGATTTAACGGATAGAGTGACCCACTTACTAGCAAACAGCCATGGCGGAGCCAAGTACACGGTGAGACTACTCTCAGGTGCCTCTCGTCTTTGTTTAATTCTATTTACATGGGTGCAGTGTGCGCTAGAACGCAAGATACCTATCATGTGTCCTGAGTGGATAACGGATGCGTATCAAGTCTGGTTGCGTGGAGATGACGTAGACCTAGCAGAGGTGAGCACAACAGAATCACCCACAACACACTCCTAACATCCGCAGACTATTTCTGCGCACCGCCTCCCCATCTTCTCCGGTGTCACACTCTCACTCTCAGGTATTGACGACCTCGAGCAACGCGCAAGCATAAACCGGGCCCTCACCAGACACGGTGGGACGTACGTTAAAGCCATCGAACGCCCTGTCAAGGTTACACATCTACTATGTGCGGGCGACAACGAGACTGAGAAGATGCGCTACGCTGATAAGTTCAACAAACGTGGCGAGGCAAAGATCCACGTCGTCTGGGAGGAGTGGTTCTGGGACTGCTTGGAATTTGGAGGACGCTTCGAGGAAAAACGATACGTCGTCACGCGGCCGAGGCCAGAGAGAAAGACTACGAACGAAGGTAAGTAGACAGTCACTCCATAACTTCAAAACTAGTTCACACACAAAATAGAGTTTACCACCTCAATACCGGTCCATGACTCCGCCCCAGGCACACACCCTTCGAATGCGATTCCTGTCGATGGGCATCTACCCAGGACGCCAGCACCACCGAAACCCAGTTTTGAACATGACAACCTGGAGGAAGAGGAACCTGCTTCCCTTGCGCGGGCTCCAGTTCGCGCAGTGACGCTTCAGCTCTGGGGGAGTCTCTTACGTCCACGGGGATTCGAGCTCGATGCAGTTGCCAACAAACTTGTGCGCAGTCCTTCAAAGTCACAGTCAATGAAAGGCCCATCGATGTCGCCAACACGATTACCAGCACGTCTCATGCCTGATGTACGAGCGAAAGTCAAAGAGAAGGATAAAGAACAGGGGAAATCCGTGATCTCTTCATTCAAACGCGTCAATTCGTTTGCGCCGCCCGCGAAGGAGCTGGTGACACGGCAGCCGTTCAGACGGACAACCACTGTTGCAGCTCTGGGACCTGAGGACGCAGAGGGGAGTGAAGCACCCCACCGACCTGAGGTCGAGGACTCAATGGCGACACTCTTCGCGGGTTACCGCTTCCGTCTGCTTGGGGAGGCGAAATGTGCGAATGTACGCAATGCTATTGATACCGGGGGAGGCGTGGTCATGGATGAAGATACGGACAATGTCGATTTCATCGTGGTACGACTCATTAGGTGAGCCTTCGACCTTCTGGTACGCATGGGGCGTCTTATGCAGCGGATCGCTTAGTGGGAGCAAACTATATCAGAACGAACCTGATGAGATGTTGCGTGCCAAATATCGCACAGAATGTTGGCTCGAACACTCGGTCTTCCAAGAGCGAATATGTGGACCGCACGAAAATATATCATTCACGCCTCTCACCCTTCCCTGCCCAATACCTAGTACGCACCATGAACTTGCTTCCCCCATCTTACACATGCTGACATGATCACAGACGCCGAACAAATCATTCTGAGCCTTTCTGGACTTGATCAGTCTGAGCTATGCTGGACAAAGCGTCTGCTGCGCGCGTTGGGTATAACGCTCGCCCAGATATTCTCCCGACGTTCGACACATCTACTTTGTCCGAGTGCTTGTGGTGCCAAATATGACAAGGCAAAAGAGTGGAACATCCCCGTCGTGGGCATGGCATGGCTGGAGGATATGGCAACGGAGGGGACGGTGCCTGACATCAGCGAATATCTCATTGGCGAAGTCAGCGACCGAATGGCAAAGGGTAAGGCGAAGGACGTGCGGATGGTGGATACTGCTAAGGGTAATAGTAAGCCAGAGGATATATCATTTCAACATTTGACGTCATTCTGATTGTTCTATTATCACAGACAAATCTGTCCCTCCGCTATTCGTAAAGAAGTCAAATCTCCTACAAGATCTCCGAACATCTACTCTTCTTGATATCGAGCACGCCCCCCCGGTCACATTCTTCGGCAAGTCAAACGGCTCACTCGATAACGCTTTGCCACAATGCGAGGGCGACGATGGGGAGCGATTCTCAGCCTCTCCGCCTCCATTGCCACCGCAAAGCAGCTCTCCTCCACTTGAATATGTGGATTTGCCCCCTGCACGCCAGAGACCTCCATTGCTCTTTGAAGAGTTCAATCCTCCGGTGCCTTCACTGGATCCTAACGGACGTATACCCTCCTCCAGCTCGCCCTCGCCAATGAAACTCCCACCAAGTTCAGATGCAAGGCTGACGTGCGAACCCTCACCGGTGCGAGTGCCTCATCCACGAGACGTTGCACGCGAGTTACAGGAGAGCCTAACGACGCTGCTGGGGAAGAGACAGATATCAGAAGACGATGTTATGCGCCCGGAGCAGCGGAGGGGCAAGCGGCCGCGGCCACAGCCGCGCTCCAGGGTTCGTTGACAGCTTAGAGTTATCCCCCGACTATTGATTCATTTATTATTGTAGGTGCAATCTCGGCAAGAATCACGCGAGACCGTTACTAGTCCTTCACGACTTGTGCCGCTTCCTCAGCCCATATATTATGATGCGATGAGCCTGCTGGACGGGAGCGCGCGTCCGAGTGAAGATAGTCTGCGCGTGACGTATGAGGATCCTGGACAGGAGGCGGAGAAGCGGAAGCTAATGGCTTTACTTGGGGAGGAGGGTGTGGGCAGGAAGGGCAGGAGGAAGAACACAAGGATAGTAGGACGTTGATGTGCATCCAAGTGCTGTATCTCTGGTAGCGTATTGTTATATCATCTAGTTTGACTACCTTGCAACAATACTATCACTCCTGGGGTTCTGCAACATTTTCAATAAATCTTTTGTAACTCCTCAACCACATCATATTGTCTTCTACGGATTTACACCAATATATATTCGTATCTGCTCTATATGAATCTGATTTTTTCCGATTTTAATGATTTTGTGGTGGAGTGTCGGATGAAGACCGAGAAAATTCAGGGTCTGACTGGTATTCTGCAAAATATGGTCACGTCGTGTCACATGTCGGGCACAGTAGCGGCACGTCAACTTTGCCGTAGAGGAGATTGAATTTCTTACACAACTCTCCTATCTGTTGTCACGCTTTCATACATGTCAACAATCCTTCGTCTATAGCATCTTAAAACAAGAGAACGACCTCTATCGAAATTGTGTTCTGACACCCTGATGAGGTGTTTGATAGACTCCAAGTGTAAAATTTTGAATATCTCTTTAGGATCTATGGGATCTGGATCATTTATGATTATACAAGGTTGAAAATCACCACTATTCCGTCTCTCGCAGCTGCAACACTCGAGAAATTTTTATTCTACTTGGACAGTACATCATCTCTAAGTAGCCTACATGCGCCTGAATTTTTTCGAGGTGATTCAAGCAGCGCGTTGAGGTGTTTTGAACATTTTGCATATTACATGCCAGTTGCAGATTCCCAGGAATGATAGTATGAATGTTATTGGCAAGAGTGGTTAAAATTTTATGGGCATTAATGGGGTAGTGGTAACCTGGGTCGTTGCCATCGACCCGCCGGGGGTTCGATTCCCTCTTAATGCACTTTTAGGATGTGATGTAAGATTCATCGGACACCTTTTTGACGGCATCCGTAACGGAGACCAACGGACGGGTCACAACATAGTACCGAAATGCTGCTTAACGTAAGTAAACTCAACTGCAATATTGCTTTACCACCTGCGAGGTAAGTGTAGAGTTTCAGACATCCACTTGCAATAACTTTGTATTTGATCTTTGCGTCCTTGCAGCAGCCTAGTTCAGTGACATACTAGAACACTCCTGGGTTCTGATGCCCAAAGCCAAGAAATTTGTCCTTCCTTGCGATGGTGACCCATATGGCAATGCTAGGAAAAAGAAGCTTCGCAGAGGGCCACGAAGTAAAGAAGCCATAGAACGAAGGATGAAGAAGTGGATAACTGGCATAGAGGCAAGACGAGCGGGACAACAACAGAGGGAAGATGGAGAACTGCTGGACCCGAAGGATGTGGTCGATGTGCCAAACGTCGATGAGCCTCAGGCTCAGGCCATTGTTGCAGAAGATGCATTTCTTGAGGTGACTCTATGCTTATTTTTCTTTCGCAGTATGCTCATTCTGATCAAATGTACGCACAGTCGGCACCCACTACTTGCGCTGCTCCACAGCCAACTCTTTAGCACATCATGCGACCTTTAGTACTTGCGCGTTGATCATGTTCTCATACGTGAAGGGACCATCAGCACTGTAGCGTCCCAACAGCGTAATTTTGAGTATATCGTATCGATATGCTGTCGTATTATTCCCGAGCAAAACTGTGCAGACTCATCTTCTTGGACAGGCAGCTGATCATGCTGAGTGGTTCCAACGAGCACCCAACTTCAATATCTGTCAGATAAGTTTTTCGTCCAATATGCAAATCTGGATACTTCTGTTTACACATCGAGGAGTGTGACAGCCTCAGAAGGCTACGCCAGCGCGATTATCGCACATGGCGCTTTCAAACAGTAAACTTCCATCTGCCTGGCTTGCTTGATCGGATACGGGATCCTGTGTGTTGCAACTCGCAGCCAGTCTAATGAGTGCAGGGTGCGGTGCGGTGCTTTGAGCGAAACAGCCCTTGATTGACAGCTGGCGAACCAAGCCTTCGGCAGAAATTTGAAAGACGACGTATTTGTAAGGGCGACATTTCATACCTCCTGCCCCTCTCTGGTGATAATAGCGAGTCAAGACTTGGCTTCAGCCACCCCTAGCGTTTCTTCCGATTTCCTTCGCTCATCGAATAAGTTTAAAGCACATTTGGCCGAAAGTCTCTGGGTGTGATAATTACAAGACGGACGAGAAGGCTGGTGGAGGTTGATAGGATAAATGATACCCGGAAATAACCGCGCATCAACTTTCAGGCACAGGTTTATACCTTGACACTCAAGTACTACTTCCAAGTATTGCAGGCCTGCATGCTGATCCTATAATCATGGTCCCAAGTGCTAGTCCATCTCAGAATTAATCCACGGAATTCGAACATACCTCGAGTTCAACAGTGGTTGTGTTCACAAATTGTTCACATCATAATCACGCCTGCTGCACACTGATGATCATACCCTAGCCTATACTGACGACTTGAAGAATACATACTAGCCAAGCTTTTAAACTCTTCTGAGGACGGACCTCGTCAACAGGTCATGTCATATATACAGAGGCAAGCATATGTATTGCTCTGGCTCGTGTTCTTGATCCTCGACTTCAGTGAGGTGATCACAACTTTCAAGACGTAGCCTAGGTGAGATAGGTTATTTACAGCTGTCAGCTGCGCAGATGCGCTCGTTTCTGACCCGGAGAATTCCACTCTAGATGGCGAATGATGCAAATAGCGTGTGCTGTATGACATGTGGACCCTGTCCTTTGAACATTGATCCGTGTACGACCATGTAATAAAATCGCTTCACGCCACTTGGGCCCTGCCCGTCATATTGCCGAGTGCGATGAGGTCCCGCAGTGAGTTTTATATCATCAAATTGGTACGCTGATCACGGTCTAGCGTATATGAAATGCGGGCCCGAGTTGGACAGAAGCCTGAGAAGATCACTGAAGCATCAGTGCCCATTGATGTACTATCAGCCTGCACAACTACAATATCAAGAGTTCTGGGGACTGCGGTCGTACAAGCGTGACCATGTTTTCTTTTCACCTATGCCCTCTTCATTTCCGGGTTGGCCTAGGCGTAGTGTCCTATTTGGCTGTGAAAATTGATACATCACCATCGCATGAACTACACGATGCACGGCGTTAGTGCGTTTTGCATTAGGTTTGGTACGTTTATCATACTTTTGTGCATGTGATAGTCCGATGATGACGGCGTTGACAGTCCAGGTGGAGAGGGTGAGTTACTTACATGCTCTATTTCGATCCATTCTATCCCCCCACGCCCGACCGCCCCGGCACCCCGCCGACACAACGAGACCTATTAGGAGTTGCCAGAGAAGCTGTTGTACCCCGATCCTGGCCAGTGGGGCCAAGACAGTGCAGATGACCTCATCGGAAATTATCATCGAGACGACAGGCGGTGTCGGTGGTCGCATCATGCGTAGATTTATGTTGAAGCTATGATTACGTGGTTTTGCTCGTGGAGCTCCTGAATCTGTGCATGGAACATTTATCCCCGTCATGCTGACATTGGCGCAGAATGGTAGTATATATAGGTCGTCATTATACATTCACCAAGTTCCATCCTCGAATATGACCCTAGTTTCGAATGATCCCACTTTGTGGCCGGTCATTGATTCGACTCGGTTTTTTAGCTATTTTTCAGGTTCGTGGAGAGCCAGTCACCGAATGCTGTCATTGATGTCCGGATCTAACCTTAACTGTGATCTTGCAGTTGCCTCACTCGCTGCTGTGATATATGATTGGGGTAAGCAAAATAGTATTGAATACCCATTGATATGCTTACAATATTGTCAGTACTGACACTTGGACAAGAGGTAGGTTGATGCCATTTCGGAGCAGTCATCTCGCTAAGAATGCTATCACAGATTGATTTGATCTGGGTGAGCGACTGAGTTTCATGAAGAAGACGAGGATGATACAATTCATTTGTGACAGAGGCCGCGCTGGTCCCTCATGACTGTTATGTATCTCGTTGTTCGTACCTCATGTTATCCTATAGCGCGGCTGGCAAGTTGTGCTGACTCTAAAATTCTTCTAGATACGCTATGTTGGAACACCATACTCCACGTACGTTTTCAAGGTTGACAAATGAACGCTAGGCTAATAGCCCACTTTTCACAATCAGTATTTACATGCTGCGTATGTCCCATATGCACCGTGTAAATTTATCTCTTCTGACCTGCGGTATGTAGGAGGTCTTCCGTCAGTCTCTGTGTCAGATGCGGCGAGTATTTTGTATCCATACCTCCCATTTATATCCAATTAACTTCCCTTCTATGTAGGGGTGAGTGAGATTCTTTACAAGTATGTTGCCTGAACATAGCCGCAATAGATGTGAGTGTGTTTGGAATATTTGATCCTAGCTACGAGGGCGACTGCTAACTGAGTGTTTTAGGCAATATGATGGAAAATGCAATACATTGGATAAATGTGGTCATAGCTGCCATGCTGGGTGGTGAGCTACCCAACCGCGATACCTCAGTGATGTTGAAACGTCCATGCAAGTCGTTATGATAGCTCGGCTGTATGCCATGTATCAGGGATCAAGAAAGATGTCCATCTTTCTTGTTGTGATCTTTCTAGCTATCAACATCGCCTGCACAGTGATCACCGCGATAGGATTCAAGTATATTGTAGGGGGTAAGCTTTACTTGTTGGCTTGAAGAACAATGCTCATTGGACGAATATTAGAGGAGACAATACTCTCTGGCACCTATGCGTGCAGTTATGAATACGAGGGAGATGTCCAGTTTCTGATCACAATGGTTTGGACCCTCAACACTATATGGGAGGTCCTCGCACTGTTTCTTTCAGTCTGGATTGCTGTAAAGCACTTCCGACAACTCAGACGATCGACAGGATCAACTGTCAGAGACTGTTTCACAGTGTTGATAAAATCTCACGTGCTTTACTTTGCGAGGTGAGCTTGTACTTGAATATAGATGCTGTTATCTTGGCCGCTGAAGTTATGCGCATGCTAGTTTTGCTGCTGTTTCTTGCCTCCAAATTGGTCATGTCTCTCCAAACATCTTGGTGCGCAGATCTGTCACCAACTTTTGCATGTGGCTAATGTTTATCATCTCTGTAGGACTCGTATTCCGCAGGTGCAGAGATATATGATGGCATTCTTCAAATTTTTGTGGTCGTGCAGATGTTCGTGCTGGGACCACGCCTCGTCCTTAGCATTCGAGAATATCATGTTAAACTCGTTGCCGACTCCGACGCAGCAACTGAGATGGCTTCCATTGCTTTCCAGGAGCGTGTAGTGTAACACGGAAATACTTGCCGGGACCCTGCTATGTATGGAAATTTACTCGAGGTTTCGTCGTAGTATTTATTCCAAAGTATATTTGAAGAGAGAATAGGCTATATAGCACTAAGTAGCGTCTGCACCAACTTTATAACATCTTTTGGTGGCTGTGCACCCATGCTTGAGCCTGAGCAAGTTCTACCAACTTCAAAAGTTGTAATGGATGTGCGTTCCACGATTTAAAGTCATTGAACAGGTCGTAACCACAATGGATCAGACAGGGTTCAAATGCTTTGAACAAGTCTACGCAAAGCCTGTGGTCCACCCATAGAAAGGCGAAACTCAATTTAAATTCGGTTCCTCCTGCTCCGCTTTTGCCAAACACGCCTGCCGAGACACCTGCAGAAGATACAAACCAACTACCCGCGTTAGACCACCCAGCTGAACCAGGGACTTCGATACCTTCTCCATTTTCCATAACACCCGCTACGACTGAAGTGACCTCACCCGACACACGTCCCCCTTCTTCAAAGCGAAAATTGCGCTCAGCCCGTTCAACAGCAGAAGACGGCAGTAAACGGCCGAAGCTATCTACTAATGCCATAGCCAAAGATCACACTCCCCCTGCTACTCGATTGTCCGATCTAGGTGGTGTAGAAGCATGTGTCGAAAAGATGCTTGAGCTTGTTGCCATGCCTCTCTGTCATCCGGAGATATATCTGCACACTGGTGTGCAGCCTCCGCGTGGTGTTTTGCTGCATGGCCCTCCGGGGTGCGGCAAAACCCTTCTAGCGAATGCAATAGCTGGGGTGAGTGCGCCCACCAAATCGTGTGGAAGTTGTTTGATTGTGTGCAGGAACTGGGTGTTCCGTTTATCAGCATATCTGCTCCGTCCATTGTGTCTGGCATGTCTGGAGAATCCGAAAAAACCCTACGAGATACATTCGACGAGGCTAAGGTATGTCTCGTGTTTCGAGTGGTGTTTTGTCGGTCTCATTATCACGCCCAGCGTGTCGCGCCGTGTCTACTGTTCATTGACGAGATTGATGCTATCACTCCAAAACGAGAGAGTGCCCAGAGAGAGATGGAGCGACGTATAGTTGCACAGTTCCTGACGTGCATGGATGGTAGTTTTGATATCCTTTTCATTGCCATCATCTTCTAACACGACCCGTGCAGATATGTCCTGGGAGAAGACTGAAAACAAACCTGTGATCGTCATTGGGGCTACCAACCGACCAGACTCATTAGATGCTGCTCTCCGTCGCGCTGGCCGGTTCGACCACGAGATTAGCATGGGCGTCCCGGATGAGGAAGCCCGAAACAAGTATGTCGATAGTATCACATCATCCTTTGAGAGTCCATCTCATGCTTTTGTCAGAATTCTGCGAGTACTATGCGCCAAACTCCGGTTAGACGGCGACTTCAATTTCGCTGCCTTTGCCAAAGCCACTCCTGGCTACGTAGGTGCAGACCTATCGGCATTAACAGGCGCAGCGGGCGTCATCGCCGTCAAACGCATTTTCAAACAACTCACAGACGGCACGCTCGTCCTTCCTGAGGCCCTAGAAAACGACCAAGGTACCCCAATGACAGTGGATCCGCTACCAACGCCCCCAGCCGATACTTCATCAAGTGTAACCCCATTTGTCTCACTAGCATCCCAACTCTCCACTTCTTCCATCGCGCATTTCCTCAGTGCACATCCCTCTCCTCTCACACCCGCTCAGCTTGCCCCTCTCTGCATTGCTTCGGTCGATTTTTACGCCGCGCTACGTGAAGTTCAGCCTTCCTCCAAGCGCGAGGGTTTTGCAACCGTGCCAGATGTGACGTGGGCCGATATCGGCGCACTGCATGGCACGCGTGAAGAGCTACATATGGCAATTGTGCAGCCTATCAAGCGCCCTGAGCTGTTCAGCGCTGTGGGCATCGAGGCGGCGTGTGGCGTGCTACTGTGGGGTCCACCGGGATGCGGAAAGACCTTGCTGGCTAAAGCTGTCGCAAACGAGTCCAGGGCGAATTTCATCAGCGTCAAGGGCCCTGAGCTTCTAAACAAAGTCGGTCGCGTTCCATTTCTCAAGGTAATTTGCTAATGGGAGCGCAGTATGTCGGCGAAAGCGAGAGAGCTGTGAGACAGGTGTTCTCTCGTGCCCGTGCCTCATCTCCCTGTGTGATATTCTTCGACGAGCTAGACGCTCTTGTCCCTCGGAGAGACGAAAGCATGGTACGCACCCTCTATTTTCCATTCCAATATCTATCTCACATTCCTATTTTTAACAGTCAGAGTCTTCCGCACGCGTTGTGAACACCCTACTCACAGAACTAGACGGACTTGACTCCCGCAAATCTGTCTACGTCATCGCCGCAACGAATCGTCCCGATATGATTGACCCAGCTATGGTTCGCCCGGGGCGTCTCGACAAGCTCCTATATGTTGACCTACCAACCGCTGACGAACGCGTCGAGATCGTACGGACGCTCGTGCGCAAAGTCCCATTCGCGCCTACAGAACCAGACACCGAGACGATACTGCAGGGCGCAGAGCACATCGTGCGGGAAAAATGCGATGGGTATAGCGGTGCGGATCTGGCAGCTGTCGTTCGGGAGGCGGGAGTTGTTGCGCTTAGACGTGTTCTTGGTGCGCTTGATCAGATGGATGACAGTGGTGGAGGTTCTGTAGAGAATCAGCCGCGGGTGGTTGTTGTGTTGGAGGATTTTGTGCGCGCTCAGGATAAGGTCGGTCCTAGTGTGTCTGCTGTGCAGCGGAGGAAGTATGAAGCGCTGCGAGCCAAGTTCGCTGGCCTTCCTGTGCGGACGGGGAAAGATGTTGATTAGAAGTGAGCTGCTGGTGGTATCAACGTGATAATGGATGCTAAAAAATATTAATTGGCACTCCTGCGACACATGCGCAATTCGCTCGGTCGAGTACTGACATGAACTTCGACACCACTCCAAAGCAGCCAGTTTGAACTAGCACGTACAGACAACTATCATCACAGTCCTTCTCATCCGGCTCTAAACCCCTCCCCCTAATTCTTTTCATAAACCTCTTTATACCTAATCTTTCACATACCCAGGCCTCGATATCATACAGTCTGTGGACAGACGATGGACATTACTAACTTGAGTGGCTCCGATTCGAAATTCCAATGTGGGGAACGAGGAACAGACGAGACCCCGCAAAGACTGCGTGTCATGTACAAAGTACAGCCACCGCACCACACAACAAATATTGGAGCAACTTGTAAGGCTTGCAGTCACAGGGAGGGGTGGCTGCCAGCACGCTGACTACGAGTAGTTTTTTTAGGATACCTACTCTTCATGTGGTGTCCACCAAATCTGTCCAGTTCAGCCCCACGCTGGTTGTCCAAGAAAATGCCGTATGTGCTCAGGGCCGCTAATGAGGGTAAGGGCCGAAGGCGAGTCCGTGCCGGAGGAAGCACGAAGCACCGAGCACTGCGAGCCGAGCCCGCTGGCCTTCCTGTGCGCATGGGGTTGACTGATTTTCTTCAGCATGAGCAGACTCACTGGGGCCTGGGCAACATATCTAATGATGATTTGGCATTCCTGCCACTCACTATCCCCAGTGGACCTAATAATTTCTCGCTCTCCAAGTCGCTTCGCTTAAGGATTTAGCTCGCCTCCGATAACCCTGATGAATGGGCCGCCACCGGTACTAGTGCCAACCAACTATTTAAACGCCCAAAGGTTGAAATTGTTGGAAAGGAAGATGGTTCTCTCTACGTCGCTTTCGTCGCTTCTTGCCCTGCCAGTGCTTGCCTTCTTCTCGCTGTCAGCGAGGGCTTCGCCTCATCCCCCACGGACGCCATTGAGCACGGCTGCTAGTACTCTCAAGCTCGCCGTTAGAATCAACTCGAGCGGGGTCAAGAACATCGCCGGTGCAGACCGAGCTCGAGTTCGAGACTTACAAGCTGGCCGCAGCTCTTCCATTAGTGCAACCAATGCTGCGACGATATACACCGCTGATGTTGGAGTGGGGAGTCCAGCAACGTACTGTAAGTTGCTCGCGTTCCAGATATTTCTTTCTTTGACGCATTGTCTATTTCAAACAGACACACTCCTAATAGACACCGGAAGCTCAAATACCTGGATCAAGGACAAGGCTTACAAGAAGACTTCCACAAGCCAAGACACAGGCGGTAAATTCGTGAGTATTTGTTTCTACGTGGCACATTCATAATATCAACCCATTTTCAGTCCATTACATACGGAAGCGGTTCCGTTTCTGGAGAGGAATACACGGACATCGTAACGCTCAACTCTGATCTGGTCATCGAGAAACAATCCATTGGCGTTGCATCTAAATCCACAGGTTTGGATGGTCTGGATGGACTTCTTGGCGTTGGACCAGTCTACTTAACGCAGGGCACCGTCAGTAATGTAGATGAAGTTCCAACTGTGACGGACAACCTTTATACGCAGGGAACGATTGGTTCGGAAGTACTCGGGGTGTTCTTTGCACCTGCTTCCTCTGGCGATAGCAGCGGTGAGCTCACATTCGGCAGTTATGACGCCTCCAAAATTACTGGAGACATCAACTATGTGCCGATCACGTCAACATCCCCAGCGAGTGGATATTGGGGTATTGATCAATCCATTGCCTATGGGACTACGTCCATCTTGACCGAGACCGCTGGTATCGTTGACACCGGAACCACTCTCATTCTCATTGCCACTGGTAGGTTACCTGTACGACATGGAAACTCTTCTAATCCACAGTTCAGATGCCTTCCGTAAATATCAGTCTGCGACGGGAGGAACCCCCGATGAGGCCACTGGCTTGTTAAAGATCACATCCGACCAATACAACCAGCTCTCATCCTTGTATTTCACTATCGGCGGTGTTACTTATGAGCTGACTCCGAATGGGCAAATATGGCCTCGGTCATTGAACAGCGCCATTGGCGGTACCACCGACGGCATATATCTGGTCGTTGGTGACATTGGAAGCAACTCTGGTTCCGGCTTGGACTTTATCAACGGCTACTGTTTCCTGTACGCTGCGGCTGCTTTTTTGCTGGGAACATAAGTTGCTGAACTGTTCTTCCACAGTGAACGTTTTTACTCGGTGTATGACACGACGAACTCCCGGGTCGGGTTCTCAACGACTGAGTATACCTACGCAACATCAAATTAACTTCCTCCTCTCGCGATATGATACTTTTACTGGTATCACCATTCTACCTCCAGACTTACTGCTTCTGCTTTGAAGGTCTTTTCAGTTTTAAGTATCGGTTGACACTCCTTAGGCAACTCCCTCGCTTGATTACATTACAACATCTTACAATTCTGTTTTGATCAACATCGATCAACACTCTAATTACTACCTCATCCGGGCTCACCGTTATTGCAAAATACTATGAAGTTGATTGACTCGGATACCGGCATCTTCGTATCGAACAGTGCAAACCATGCATTTTCCAGAGTGCGCCTAATAATTCCTCGCGGTCGAAGTCGCTTTGCTTCAATGATATTGTTCGCCTCCGAAAACCTCAATGAATGGGGCGCCGCCGATCGGTAGCACCAACCAACTATAAACGTCAAAAGTCGCGAGTGGTGGTCAAGAAGATGGTTCTCCCCACATCGATTTCGTCTCTCCTTGCCCTGTCAGTGCTTGCCTTCTTCTCGCTGTCAGCGAGGGCTTCACCTCATCTGCCGCGGACGGCATCGAGCACGGCTGCTAGTACTCTCAAGCTCGCCGTTAGAATCAACTCGAGCGGGGTCAAGAACATCGCCGCCGCAGATCGAGCTCGAGCCCAAACCTTCTCAGCAGAAGATGGCAGTAATATCACTTCCATCGATGCAACTAATAATGGGGTGACATATACCGCTGACGTTGGCGTGGGGAGTCCAGCAACATACTGTGAGCTACTCGCCGTTTTGCAGCAGTAGTTTCTTTACCTGATACGTTATTTCATATAGACACCCTCCTGATAGACACAGGAAGCTCAAACACCTGGATTGGGGCTAACAAGTCTTACACGAAGACTACTACGAGCCAAGATACAGGCTGTCGATTCGTGAGCATTTGTAGGTTATTCGTGGTATTCTCAGCGGCTTGAACTGGTTCTAGGGTCTTGCATATGGCGGTCCTACCGATCTGACTTATGTTGCTGGGGTGGAATACTCTGACACCGTAACGCTCACCTCCGACCTGGTCATTGAAAACCAATCGATCGGCGTTGCATCTACTTACCCAGATTTGGGTGGTCTGGATGGAATTCTTGGCCTTGGACCGGTTAACTTAACGCAGGACACCGTCTGCAATGGAGGTGAAGTCCCGACTGTGATGGACAACCTTTACGCGCAGAGAACAATTCATTCGGAAGTATTTGGGGTGTTCTTCGCACCTGCTTCCTCTGATAATAGCGGTGGCGAACTCACAATCGGCAGTTTTGATAACTCCAAGATTACTGGATTCATCAACTATGCGTCGAGCACATCAACATATCCAGCGAGCAGATATTGGGGCATTGATCAATCCATCAGCTATGGGTCTACGTCCATCTTGACCAAGACTGCTGGTATTGTCGATACCGGAACTACCCTTATTCTCATTGCCACCGGTAGGTTTCCTGTACGACATTGAAACTCTTCTAATCCACAGTTCAGATGCCTTCCGCAAATATCAGTCTGCGACGGGAGGAACCCCTGATGAGGCCACTGGCTTATTAAAAATCTCACTCGACCAATACAACCAGCTCTCATCCTTGTATTTCACTATCGGTAGTGATGCTCTTGAGCTGACCCCGAATGGGCAAATCTGGCCTCGGTCGTTGAACACCGCCATTGGCGGTACCACCGACGGCATATACCTGGTCGTTGGTGACATTGGAAGCAACTCTGGTTTTGGCTTGGACGTTATCATCGGCTATTGTTTCCTGTACGCCGCGTTGCATTTTTGTACTGAGACAGTTCCTGAATCCTTCATCCCCAGCGAGCGCTATTACTCGATATTCGAGAAGACGTCGTACTCCGAGTCCGTCGCGTTCGCCGCGACTGAGTACACCTATGCCACGTCAAATTGATTGGAGGCCCCCCAGAGACGAAGCTCCCACCGGTATCAGTTTACTTACATGCATTACTCAAACAAACATTCTCTGTGCTTACCACTTCTGTTTTGTCGGTCTTTTCAGTACCACGGTGTCGGTTAACACTCCTTTGGCAGACCGCTCACTTGATTACATTGCAATATCTCACAATTCTTTCTCGATCCACAATCTAATTCATCACCCCACCGTTATTTCAAATACTAGGAAGTTGAATTATAATCGGCTGGAATGAGTCTAAGTACTGGGGGTAAGGTTATAGCACCAAAGACTGAGCGCACATCAAAAAGGCTTTCTAATTTGGATGCCTAATGCCAATGAAGGAATCTAGGAATGTCCAGAAACTAAGAGCTGCGAGCTCTAGTAAAGTCGTGGTGCGAAACTTGCAGAAGACGAACGGGCTCGGTGACCGGGTTGAATTCGGTCGGAGGTTCAAACGTTCATTACGTCAGGCGTAGCCACTTCGCTTTTCGAAAACAGGCCTGTCACTGGTCAGTATCCTCAATTTGTCCTCAATATTGGTCGAGGCAAGGTGAGTACGCAAGCTCAAGCGCTCAGCGCTCAAGGCTGATCTGGTGAACTTATAATCAAGTTTTACGCAATTTGGAAGCACTTTCCTTGTTTGTTTCGACCTGTACGCTCTCTAAAGTCGATCCCTGCACAAGTTATGGTTTCGCAGTGTCGCGAAACAGTGATTTGTGCAGTAGCCCAGACACCTTGACTTGCGTTTCTCCACCTCTCCGCGTTTTCCAGCTGCGGGAATGCACCAGTTCCACAACCTTGCCCAGTGCCTCGTTGCACCTTAGCAATATCGTCACCTAAAAGTTGTGGAGTTGGTCAATGATGCTCTATGTCTTCAGGGAAGTGGTGGAATTCGTTCTGTCGGTTCATCTTCACCGAAGGTGGAGGATGGCGGGCCCGGAATGAAAGAGTCACCGACTTTGACTAAGGTACTGACATGATAGATATATGTTACTGCTAGATCCACTTTAGACATGGAATAGCAGATAGAGCGATGCGGAACCGTCGTGGACTTACCAGTGTGCAGAAAAGTAAGTATCTAGATCTTCGAAAATTTGTTATGTTGATGTTTCGAATTCTCTTGATGTTGTAACATATAGGTCATTCCCTCCGCTGCCGCCTTGCGAATTTTAATAGTAGTAAGTGTGACAGACTCGAATGCAAGAATCCTGATTCCTCGCGCAATAAGTAGGTCATGTTTTTTTTACGAGTTGCTTCGAGTTGCTTCGTTTGATATCATTACGCGATGGTGCCGGAAGAATGCAGCACCATTTAAACAGCCAGAAGTCGAGATTAGTGGTCAGGAAGATGGTTCCCCCCATGTCGCTTTTATGTCTTCTTACCCTGCCTGCGCTTGCCTTCCTCTCGCTGTCGGCGAGTGCGATGCCTCATCCTCGGGCAGCATCGAGCACGTCTGCACTCAAGCTCGCCGTTAGAATCCACTCAAACGGGATCAAGAACATTGCCGCCGCAGACCGAGCTCGAGCTCGAACCTTAGTGGAAGCGGGCAGTAGCTCTTCCATCGGCAATGTGACCAATGCGGGGGTGATGTACACTGCTGACATTGGCGTTGGGAGTCCACCAGCGTACCGTAAGCTGCTCGTGTTCCAACAGTTCCTTTACTTGACGTGCTAACTATTTTTTACAGACACAGTCGTGGTAGACACTGGGAGCTCAAATACCTGGATTGCCAATAAGTCTTATACGAAGACATCTACAAGCTATGACACAGGAAATCAATTCGTGAGTTCGTAGGCTCTACATAGCGTGGTGTTCACACTAGCCATTGTTTTTAGGTTGTCTCATATGGCGATGGTTTCAACTACACACTCGTTGCTGGAGAGGAATACACGGACACCATAACACTCACCTCTAATCTGGTCATTGAGAAGCAATCTATCGGCGTCGCATTCAACGTATCAGGGATGGGCTCTGTGGATGGAATCCTCGGCCTTGGACCAGTTGACTTAACATGGGGTACGGTTTCGAATGCAGAAGAAGTTCCGACTGTGATGGACAACCTATACACGCAAAATACGATTAGTTCTGAAGTATTCGGGGTGTTCTTCTCACCTGCTTCCGCTGGTGATACCAGCGGCGAGCTCACATTTGGCGGTTATGACCAATCCAAAATTACTGGAGACGTCGGCTATGCGCATATCACAACAACATCTCCAGCGAATGGATATTGGGGCGTTGATGAAGCTATCAGCTATGGGGAAACAAAGATTCTAACTAGTGCAGCCGGTATCGTCGATACCGGAACCACTCTTATTCTCATTGCCTCTGGTAAGTGCCTTGTGTAACGTTGAAACTCTGCTAACCCACAGCTCAGATGCCTTCGACAGCTATAAGTCAGGGACGGGTGCAATCCTTGATGCTTCCACTGGCTTGTTAAAAATCTCGTCTGACCAGTACAACCAACTCTCGTCCTTGTTTTTCGAGATCGGCGAGGAAAGTTATGAGCTTACCCCCAATGCGCAAATCTGGCCTCGATCATTAAACACCGCCATTAACGGTACCACCGACGGCATATACCTGGTCGTAAGTGACATCGGCATGCAGTCTGGTTCTGGCTTGGATGTTATCAATGGCTATTGTTTCCTGTACGCTGCGCCACATTTTTTGCCAAGCGTGAAGTTGCTGAATCGTTCTTCCACAGAGAGCGTTTTTACTCAATATTTGACAAGACGAACTCCCGAGTCGGGCTCGCCGAGACCCAGTACACCTATGCTACGACAAATTAACTATAATTCTTCGAGGCGTCACATTTATACCCATATCAACATCAACATACGAACGTTCGTTACTTACCTGACATTCGTTACCTACATATTTCATCACGTTCATTTGGCCCCGTTGATATCACGTACGAGACGTACTCGTTGACAATACACTACATAATGTTTTCCAGTCTTGAAAGAATGACATATGTAAGTACGTGGTTCCCTTTGTGGACACACTTTGTTTGAAAATTGAGACGCCTTGCGTCCATTTCTATCGGACATTTCCGAGACTCATGACACTTACTGTAACTTACATACTCCAACTTGAAGAAGAATCGTGTTCTTCGAAGATTCATTAATCATTAATCATTCGTCGCACGGAGTCCGATCGCACATCGAGATCTTCGGAATCCTGGAAGACCAGCCGATGGTACTTGGTATGTCATGTGTCTTCAAGACCAGCTCAGTCCTAGTGTATCTTGTACGGCGGAAGAAGTACGAAGCATGACAATTATGGGTCTAGGATGCTGGGGATGTGATTCGCTTCAAGGGCCGAGTAACCATGAACATTCATCAAGTTGTTCACCTCTCTCGAGTCTATCCAAACCGTATAATACACGATGCACTGTCTGCCACCAGGCAAGCCTAGAATGACAATAAACAAAAAAAGGGAGAAAGGAGATAATAGGGTGGATTGCAGTGCGCTAGCTAGTCGTTCGGACGGGTCACGGATCTAGCGTCTTTGGGATCGAGCGCTCATCAGGATCTTGGGTGCGTCACACTTACGTCAAATAACGTTGAATCTGATGCAATCTGAAATTGTAGAATGATAGAATCGCACTGCAGCTGTAATACCTTGAGTGGTGTTTCTGACAGGCTCTGTAATAGCTGTGGGTCATTCAAAGGTCGACCGGTCATTGCCTGGCTCCCCATGCAGCTACTTACCAACTGACACTAGTTTTCTATACAGATAATTTTCATAGGACTCGAATGTATCTCCACGCAATGCGCCCCCAGTCAGCATCTCAAGTTTAGTCGCTTCGAAGCCCAAGTGGCCATTGTTCGCTTCCGTGATGAAGAACGTTCTGATAATTTAATGCCAACTACCATTTAAAACCAGTTGGGAAGAGATGGCTCAGGAAGAAAATGATTCCCTCCAAATCGCTTTCATGTCTTCTTACCCTGCCGGCGCTTGCCTTGCTCTCGCTGACAGCGACTGCTTTGCCTCATCCTCGGTCAGCTTCGAGCACGGCTTCCCTCAAGCTCTCCGTTAGAATCAACTCTAACGGGCTCAAGAACATCGCTGCCGTAGATCGAGCTCGATTCCGAGCCTTACAAACTGGCGGCAGCTCTTCCATCAATGCAACCAATGCTGCGACGATATACACCGCTGATGTTGGCGTGGGGAGTCCCGCAACGTACTGTAAGTTTCTCGCGTTCCAGCAATTTCTTTAATTGACGCATTGTCTATTTCATACAGACACACTCCTGATAGACACTGGAAGCTCAAATACCTGGATCGGGGCTGGCACGCCCTACACGAAGACTTCTACGAGCCGAGACACAGGCGGTCAATTCGTGAGTATTTGTTTCTACGTGGCACATTCATAATGTCAACCCGTTTCCAGGACGTTACATATGGCGACGGGAGTTCCGTTTCTGGAGAGGAATACACGGACACCGTAACGCTCAACTCTGATCTGGTCATCGAAAACCAATCTATTGGCGTTGCATCTACTTCCCCAGGGTTCTATGGTCTGGATGGACTTCTTGGCCTTGGGCCAGCCGACTTGACAGAAGGCACCGTCACTAATGTAAATGAAGTTCCGACTGTGACGGACAACCTTTATACGCAGGGAACAATTGGTTCGGAAGTACTTGGAGTGTTCTTTGCACCTGCTTCCTCTGATGATAGCAGCGGTGAGCTCACATTCGGCGGTTATGACGCATCCAAAATTACTGGAAACATCAACTATGTGCCGATCACATCAACATCTCCAGCGAGTGCATATTGGGGTATTGATCAATCCATCAGCTATGGGTCTGCGTCCATCTTGACCGAGACCGCTGGTATCGTTGACACCGGAACCACCCTCATTCTCATTGCCAGTGGTAGGTGTCCTATGGGATATTGAAACTCTTCTAATCCACAGCTCAGATGGCTTCAGCAAGTATCAGTCTGCGACGGGGGGAACTCTCGATGAGGCCACTGGCTTGTTAAAGATCACATCCGACCAATACGACCAGCTCTCATCCTTGTATTTCACTATCGGCGGTGTTACTTATGAGCTGACTCCGAATGGGCAAATATGGCCTCGGTCATTGAACAGCGCCATTGGCGGTACCACCGACGGTATATACCTGGTTGTTGCTGACAGCGGGACCACCTCTGGTTCTGGTTTGGATTTTACAAACGGCTACTGTTTCCTGTACGCCGTGCTACTTTGCTTTCCGGGAAAATAGGTCACTGAATTGTTCTTCCATAGCGAGCGTTTTTACTCGGTGTATGACACGACGAACTCCCGGGTCGGGTTCGCCACGACTAAGTACACCCATGCGACGTCGAATTAACTTCCACCCACGACAAGATCATGGTTCTACCCATTTACCTGACGAACGATACTTAAATTTCTAGTGTATGATGTCATCGGTACATGGATGAGAGCAATATTGTAGGACTACTGTCCGGACTCTGGGGATAGTTTTTTCACGTTTTTCACGTTGGCTCATAATAAGGTTGACACCAATGTGCATAACAGAGTTATGAAGCCCGTGTACCCTAGGAAAGATGTTGCTCGGAAGTAGTTTTCTCCATGTCATTAAACATTAACTGCACCAAACACGTGGTCTGTTCATATGTCCAGCCCTGTAATCGCGGTGTAACCCGGATGTGACGATCTGGCGCGAACCCTCCACACACTTTCAATGTTTGAGGCTTCAGGTTGAAGCAGCGCATTTTCTGCTACACTTCTGTCATTTGCGAAATCAATGTCCTGCATCGAGAAAAGACCTGATGAGCAACACGCGTCGCATTAACGCTCGGAATCAATCAACATCAATCAACTTTGATTGTACGAACATGATAAGTATACTACATTTAGGGGAGAATCGAATGACGTTCACAGCAGTCGAATGGTCTGCTGAGGGTTGCGAGATATTCCACCAAAGCAGGGCGTTGTGCAGCGCTCTCTGCACCTTTTGCAAAAGACGGCGAGAGCATGTTCGGATGGACCATCCACTGCATCTTTCGAGTCCGAGCTGGTCAACACGTTGGACATGCCATTGTGGTTTCTTGCATTGGACGTGATTTTTGGATGGGATAGGTTGGGAAACGCAAATGAGGGGCTCGGGTACGTCAGCGATGAAATTATTTATTAGAACACGCATTGACCGCAAAATAGAGGTGAAAACAGTTCTATTTACACGTTGAGTTGTGATAAAGCATCCCCCAAAGATTCTCGCAGTGTCCGTGGTAGCATCCTTAGTAGCCCTTGTAGTATCTTTTCTGTCTCGCACTTGTCAACTGTCACCAAGAAATCAGACTCGTACTTGACAACCGACTGTACAGACTTGGTACAGACCTTGTGATTGTTTCAGGTGCTCACCGGGGACAAGGGATGACGAGGTGAACGATGGAAGTCGAAGAGTAGTGCATGATCGACTCTGGCGTGGCGTCGCTGGGGCAAATGTATACCTCCCGGTTCGGGCGAGGTGCATAATCTAGGAAAGGCTGGGACATCCGCCCTTCTCCCAAATGCTGAGTCTGAATTCCCTATGGTGCGGGCAGAACCTGGTGTGAGAGTCACTGATCAGTATACTTAGAGCAAATGTATACCTCGATGCGGTGGCTGGAGGTGATAATCCTTTTTGGTATAGCCTTGAAGGCGGGCTCACGCGAGGCCGGTGAGAGCCGCTGTGTGACCAGGATGGCCGACCGGACGCTGATCCGAAATCAACTGAAAATGCTGCAAATCATCGTTCAGGTGAGAGACCCTCTTCAATCTGCATGACACGTATTTGGCAAGTCATGCGTAGCCTGCATCTATGTCTCGAACAATCGTGCAGTCGACAATGGACTACGTTGGCCCGGTGTTCGGTCAGCAAAAGCCAACAACAGCGACCAGTGTGACTCACATCAAAGAGTGCACTAATATGCAAAAATAAAGAGCAAATCACTCACTGAATGGCTCATCTCCACGATCGAGCAGCTCATTCAACGTTTCCCAATGACTTCTGTACTGCCTAGCATTCGATCGGCCTCATAAGACGCCCTGATCTCCACTGATAATGCAGGTGAATCATGTGCATCAGTAAACTGGTAGAGAAATTAGAACGACATATATGTAACAATATATAGCACCTAATCACAAGCACCAGCACAATTGTGACATCGATCATTGGTCTTGTTTGACTGATTAACGACAAGTAGTGTTCCTGATCCTTACACAAGTCTGTGATCGGGAAAAGGCGTCCTCGTATGGATCCGAGTCGTTCAAAGCTTCGACGACAAAAATGACAGAGACGAGCAGAGATGGGCTCAGTTATGAAAGGCTTGTTATGTTTTCTGACCAACCTTTGCTTACTAATAACAATAAGTATACTGTAGAGATACGACACTAGCTTCGTCACGTGCAGCACGTGACACGGTCACGCTTAGTGTCACAGCTTCGAATGACCCAGTGACCTGTGACCACATAAAAAATAGCTTCGCAAATCGTGATTGCTGCACCTTGTACTTGTCAAGGCTTCTTGTCTAATTCATATCTTATTGTAAAGCTGAGAAGCAACAGGTAGAATCTAGCTAGACATTGTTGTTTTTTATATATTTTTTTGTATGTTTTTTATATGTTTTTCTGTATGTTTTTACCACGTGTCACAAATTAGCTTCGGCCCCCAAAAAATTGGTGTGACAGTCACACCAAATAGGTTCGATTCGTTGATGGCTGTGACCTGTGACGAACCTAGTGTCATATCTCTACAGTAGTAATTTATTCCTACTACGTCCTAGCGTTAGCCGCCCATCAGGATCAACGACTCGAGAGTTGCCTGCCCATGAGCGCTCAGCCATATATCATAGCCCAGATACGGCGCATAGGGCTTTGATAAGCTCAATTATTGCTGTTATTGCTAGTATGTCGAATCTCGATACCTGGGTGAGTCGAATTCCTATTATCTCCGTCGAATTCACTTTTTTACACAGGCATTACAAGCAGCGGGCTTGCGCGCTAACAGACATTTGATACTTGAGTGCCATGCCTAATAAGTATGGAATTGATTCGCTTTAAGGGCCGAGTAAGGAGATAATAAGAGCGGAGTACGCTAGTCTTTTGGATGGGGATCAATTGAGTCTTCTACCGTCATACCGCCACATCACAAGTGGCTCCACTGGCACTGGCGTCTTTTACGTTCGAACGCTCATCAGGTGGGTGCGTACTTACGTTAAATAACGTTGAATCTGATGCAGTCTGTAATTGTAGAATCGCACGCCTGTCGACTTCAATACCTTGAGGGGTATGCCCTGGGGTTTCTAACAGGCTCTGAATAGGTCATTCAAAGGTCATTGCTGAACTTCAGCTGCAGCTACTTACGAATTGACACCTTGTCTCCTATATAGATGGTTTTCATGGGACTCGAATGTATGTCCGTGCAATGAGCCTACAGTCAGCCCATCTCAAGTTTAGTCGCTTCGAAGCCCAAGTTACTATTGTTCGCTTCCGTGATTTTGCCGGAAGAATGTTCTGATGTTTTAATACCGACCACCGTTTAAAATGGCCCAGTTCGGAAGGGATAGTTCAGGAAGAAGATGGTTCCCTCCAAATCGCTTTCATTTCTTCTTACCCTGCCGACGCTTGCCTTGCTCTCGCTGACAGCGACTGCTTTGCCTCATCCACGAGCAGCGTCGAATACGGCTACCCTCAAGCTCTCCGTTAGAATCAACTCCAATGGGGTCAAGAACATCGCTGCCGCAGATCGAGCTCGATTCCGAGTCTTGCAAGCTAGCGGCAGCTCTTCAGTTAATGCAACCAATGATGGGACGACATACACTGCTGATGTTGGCGTAGGGAGTCCCGCAACGTACTGTAAGTTGCTCGTATTCCAGCAATTTCTTTACTTGACGCATTGTCTATTTCGTACAGACACACTCCTGGTAGACACTGGAAGCTCAAATACCTGGATCGGGGCCAACAAGGCTTACGAGCCGACTTCCACGAGCCAAGACACAGGCGGTCAATTCGTGAGTGTTTGTTTCTACGTGGCATATTCACAATGTCAAACCGTTTTCAGTCCGTTACATACGGCAGCGGTTCCGTTTCTGGAGAGGAATACTTGGACACCGTAACGCTCAACTCTGATCTGGTCATCGAGAATCAATCTATTGGTGTTGCATCTCAATCCTCAGAGTTGTATGGTCTGGATGGACTTCTTGGCGTTGGACCAGTCGACTTGACGGAAGGCACCGTCACTAATGTAAATGAAGTTCCGACTGTGACGGACAACCTTTATACGCAGGGAACAATTGGTTCGGAAGTACTCGGGGTGTTCTTCGCACCTGCTTCTTCTGATGATAGCAGCGGCGAGCTCACATTTGGCGGTTATGATGCCTCCAAAATTACTGGAGACATCAACTATGTGTCGATCACATCAACATCTCCAGCGAGTGGATATTGGGGCATTGATCAATCCATCAGCTATGGGTCTACGTCCATCTTGACCGAGACCGCTGGTATCGTCGATACCGGAACTACCCTCATTCTCATTGCCAGTGGTAGGTGTCCTGTACGACATTGAAACTCTTCTAATCCACGGCCCAGATGGCTTCAGCAAATATCAGTCTGCGACGGGGGGAACTCTCGATGAGACCACTGGCTTGTTAAAGATCACATCCGACCAATACGACAAGCTCTCATCCTTGTACTTCACTACTGGCGGCGTTACTTATGAGCTTACCCCCAACGCGCAAATTTGGCCTCGATCGTTAAACAGCGATATTGGCGGTACCACCGATAGCATATACTTGGTTGTTGCTGACAGCGGGACCACGTCTGGTTCTGGTTTGGATTTTACAAACGGCTACTGTTTCCTGTACGCTGTGCTACCTTTGTTTTCCGGGAAAAAATGTCGCTGAATTGTTCTTCCACAGCGAGCGTTTTTACTCGGTGTATGACACGGCGAACTCCCGGGTCGGGTTCGCCACGACTGAGTACACCGATGCTACGTCGAATTAACTTCCTCCCACGACAAGATCACGGTTCTACTCATTTACATGACGAGCGTTACTTGAATTTCTTGTGTATGATGTCATCGTTGCATGGATGAGAGCAGTGTAGGATTGACCGGACTCTGGTGATGTTTTTTTTCATGTATTTCATGTTGGCTCAGAATGAGGTTGACCCCAGTATGTACAGTAGAGTTATGAAGCCTTGCAATCGAAGTTGGTTTCCTGTGCACCCTAGGAAGATGTTGATCGGAACTGGTTCTGTTCAAATCAGATGGTGATGCATACGGCCCGAGGGTGCCTAGCTAAATACTGACATGAATGCTTATGTTTGCTTCTAGTTTTCGAATCTCTATCGTATTTAGATGTGGATAATCAAGTTACCGATAGGATCACAATAAAGACAGAATGACGTCTTATGAGTGAGGTTTTGGCCTAATAATACCTTGCAGAAGATAGGTCTTCGACAGACTGTGATATTTGTTTTTCCAAGAAAGTTTGTCGAACAAGAGCAAATTACTCACCGACTGGAAGAAAAGTGCGCACTCGATCATACCAAGACAACCTGCCTAGCTTATACTCTGAACCTCCCCTACCCTCTTCACAACGCTCCCTCGAACCACATTGCCTTCATTGCGCTTCCAAAATCTGATAGAAGCCCTGCCGGCTTCTTTGGATTATCTTAAATTCAAGCCACTCAGATCGGCCAGGCGTCTAACATAAATAAATAACCGACGAACCTCATACACGAGATGCCACACTCGAACCAGTTATAGTTAGAGTTTGCCCTGCACGATGACCCATCTGACCAACAATAAAGTGTCGTATCAAGGGTGCAGAGCGGAGACCGAGGAATAAAAACGAAAGAGACGGAAGCCAGCTTGGGAAATTCCAGAATCCCGTGCCGTCGACGGTGTGGCGTCCATCATTCGTATTGTTATTTGCGCGCCTGCTGGGTGTGAGAGCTCACAGAGGAATCAGCGGGAACAATGATAGATGGAATGAAACACGGGCAGAAGCGGGGTTGTGGATACGGCCCGCATCAACGCTGTATCATAATGAGGAATACAGTATCCATCGTACTTCCACTGAATTGCTTCCTGACCGCTGTCGAATTAGGTTTGAAAATAGCGCGCATGTGGGCAGCGCTAACGCATACGGAACCTTCCATGATGTATCCAGCAAGCTTCTCAGAGGGTCAATGACTTAGGGTGCGTAGAAGGGAGACTCAAGTTCACCAGTACTGGAGTTATTGCCAGTCATCGGGATGCAGCAGAGCAAGGAAATACTCCACGACAGGGAAACACTGTCGTCGATAACGGAGGGATCATAATCGTGTGAACTTCAAGTTTGAAGGCGCGAAGTCAATAAGGAGAGGTCACGGTGGGACACAGTGAGTACGTCATCGGTATCGTTCGTCGAAAAAGTTAGAAGATCTGAATCGTCACGTCTGGGGTATCTGAACGAGAGGGGCTGTTGTCAGTCCTTGAAATAAAGCAGGAAGACAGTCGTTCCTGATTGTCAAGTAGTAGTAGTAGTACTGATCGGTGTGAATTATCTTGCTCGCCATGAAAAACGCCCGTATGTCTAGCTAGGGGCCACATTTAGCCGTCGCTGGAGCATGTCCGAGGGTTGTGATGGTAGCATCATGGATGAGCTACGGGAGACTCGGAAGCTACGCACCCTTGGAGGGTATAGATTTCCGAGGTTAGATATTTGCTTATATTCGTTTAGCGCTCGCAGTCAACACTGCAGCAAATAAAGCCTCGAGGAAAACGATGTGGGACCATTCCTTATCTTTCTTTGCTACAGACTGATTCAAATCGTCGACTGCTATTCGCAACGATGCCCAAAGGCAAGTCATCGAGGCTTTTGACTCGAGAAACCTACACATCTAACGAAGCAACAGCTCGTGAAAGCTTGGTACGTGACTAGGCTCAAAGATCATTTGGTTCACTCCAAATCACTGAAATCAACGGATCCTTCATCTAGCACCGACCTTGTCGCGAATTCGGTCAATTTCTGGGGACGATCAAGGGCAGTGTCAAAAATGATCTGAACAAGCTCAAACCTTCTGTGAGTCCACGAGCATGCGTACTGAGTGTCCTGGAATACGGCTAAGATTGCACGACAGCGCTCGGAGGATTCCCACAGCTGCAGCCCTGTTCCCCAAAATGACGACCATTATGAGCGTGTTTCATCAACCCCGAATATCGAGGTAGGTTCTCAAACTTGCCCTTCAGTCTATGCTCTCTCTCTAAATGTTGGTGGTCACATAGGCTGATACCCAATCGGCACTTCGGGGTGCACAAGAGGCTGCAAAGCATCTTGGGCTATCTCCACTTGATTTCCCTGCCCTTTCACTCATTCCCCAGTGGCTGACGGTGAGTATATTTTTACTGAGTGCAGACGAGGTGCTCATGCGCAACCACAGGGCCATTCCGAATTCAAAGATATCTCGTCCACTGCAATGGACGTACAGAGGGTTATTCAAGTCTTTGGCGGCATCATTTTACACAGCACACCACATCTGTATGTATCAGCACTCCCATTCTCACCTGTCAACTCTCCGCTATCCAGAAAGCTTTCCGCACGGTTTCCGAATGTTCTTCGTGCAGTATCTGGACGTGATATGAACTGGCCGGCTGTTCAGGCCATGCTCAAGGGGCACACCGATTCAGTTCAATCAGTCTCGTTCTCGCCGGATGGAACTCGCATCGTCACTGGTTCGGTGGATACGGCTGTTCGGTTGTGGGATGCAGCGATGGGGCAGCCAGTCGGTGAGCCCTTGCGGGGGCACACTCATTGGGTTCAATCAATCGTGGAATCAATGCGCCGGATCTCTCAAACAGTGGATGCGTGCCGGAGGGCATGACAGTCCGCTTGTCAAGATATCGAACTTTTGTCAAGTCGAGACTGTCGACAGTGCGCACAGTTGGAAAAAGTATGCGGGGGCATTAATTCCTATACAGTCGATCTTCCACGGACACCTCGATATTCTTGACATGTCGACCCTTGCTCTGCTCCAACTAGCCAATCGAAGCAGCAGTTGAATTCATATATCATTGTACATCTCCATCTTTGCTTTCTGTATGTTTTGCTTCCAATTGCCTTTCATGACTCGGACTTGTAATGTGTCGGAGCCTCCCGTCTCCTCCCGATGATCTTCTTCCCATACCACTCTACCTTTACCACCATTCACGATCCTTTACGGCTATTAATTGTGCGCCAACTTACATGTGTAAAAACTCAAATAGCACGAAGTGGGTATACACATTTCAAGCTTTCAAGTATGTACATATTACGTTTGCTAGGTGATATAAGAATCGTCTACGATGACTGTTCCGCCGTATTCCTACTGCATTGCACGTCCTCCAATACACGGTCAACTAGATCCAGCCTGGTATACTCTTCCCCAAGCGAGTTCTTGGAATCTGCAGAAGCATTCAGAGTGAGGGATAGAAATTAATGTAGGATAGCCATACTTGTCGTACAACGATAGCACACCCGCGCCAGCAACGATATTTGCACCTGCCCCAGCTTTGATCGCGCGTGTCAGACGGTTTACTGTATCACTTCAGCGCAAACTTGACCTACCGAACAATGACTTTGCACCCTCTTTGGCCATAATGTGCCTTCCGGCGTTGATAAAGAACTTGTATTGTACCTACATCATGATTAGTAGGTCGAGACGTGCTTTACACATGACAAGATGGTCTACCTTTTCCCCGGACGTCATCATCATTCGTCTCCTGATAGTGTGAAGCAGGAAACTCCCTGGAGACTTATGTTCAAGGTCATCATGATTTTACAACCATCGACTCACCGTCGTGCACATCCAACCCACAGCAAAAGATGCAGCAAAGTTACCGCGCAGATTTCCCACTAGAAACGTGTCCCTAATGATGCCGTATCCTCCGCGACTGCGTGACATCGTTTAACATGAAAATGCAGGCGTAAAAACGTAGACGCACTAAAGACCTCGATACACGCAGATGCCAACTACGCTGGGCATGGATCCTCTGTATAAGCCAACAATCCCGTCGGAACGGAGGCTCTGAAACCAGTCATCTCTAGTCAGGCCAGGCCGACTATTGACGACACCTGTGGCAGCCTTGTGTAAGTTCCAATCCAGAACTACGTCTCTGTGTCCTTGATGCCCTCTCGCCGGGAGCGAGCTGGAGGAGAACGGTGGCACGGTCTCCACCGATCTCTGTTGTCTCGAAGATGTCGACGTAGCCTGCTTCTGAGATGGGTGCGCCAATGCGGGCGACTCTGAAGGGTGTGGCGTTGATGATGCGAGCTGCGCGGCGGAAGTACAATTTGAAGAGCATTTTGTTTGAGAACGATAAGGTTGAAGTAGTGTTGAGGGAGGTCGCCGATGGATGAGCCTCTGATGATGACTTCTAGGTGATTTGATCTGTTGAGTTATAGTAGACGTAAAGGAGGAGAAAATACCCTTTCGAGTTGTTGTTCTTCGCCGCGAGTGAGTTGATCATTTCATTCGCATGTTGAGGACAGTGCTTTTTGGTTTGGTTCGGGCGGTGTCGAGGGTGGAAGTAAGGACAGCCAGTGTGAGTGTGAATGCTGCATCGAGAGGTTTGGTAGAAATTACCTTCGAATTGGTTTGCGGCCAAACACGTTGAACCCCTTGTACGGCTTTGCTGCCCGTCCGTAAGAATTACCTGAGCGCGCTGCGTAGCAAATGACGTCATCTAGGTGAATTGTTGTTTACCAGTAGATTTACCACCTCCAAGGGTGAGGTGGCGATGACGAGTGAAAGGAAAATTTAGACGTACTCTGGCATTGGCTTGCAGTTACCAAACCCGCGTTACAAGACTGCTAAGTACATAGCATGAACAGGCCAAGTGAAGAGCTCCGATCGGAATTCGGTAACGGCCAACCGAGGATCATCGCCGAGGGTACCGGTCAGGATGAACTTAACTTGTCTTTAAGGTCAGGACTACTTTATCAATATTCGAGACACATACACTGTGATTTGCCTGCACTCAATCATGGGCTATTGTCCAGGCTCGATGTACAGCTAAGTTGATCCACGACGGCATCCGATTTAACGCGCAAAGACTCGACGCGGCTGCCAGTGAGGCCCACGTTGAATGCCTGTACTTGTTCGTTTAGCGCTCGCAGTCAACACTACAGCAAATAAAGCCTCGAGGCAAACAATGTGGGACCATTCCTTATCTTACTTCGCTACAGATTGATTCAAATCATCGACTGTTATTCATAACAATGAGAAAAGGCAAATCATCGACTCGAGAAACCCAGATATCTAACGAAGCAACAGCCAGTGGAGGTTCGGTACGTGACTCCTCGGGATCACTTGGTTCACCCAAATTGATGCATCCTTTCGTCTAGCACCGGCCCCGTAGCAAAGTTCGTCGATTTCTGGGGAAGGTTAAGGACGGCGTGAATAACCTCAGAACCTCTGTGAGTCCACGTGAATGCGTACTGAATGTCCTGGAATACGGCTAATATTGCACAACAGCGCTCGAACGATTCCAGCAGCCGCAGCCCTGTTCCCCCGAACCCAGAGATCGAGGTATGTTCTCAGATTTGCCCTTCAGTCCCTGCGCTCTCTCTAAATTTTGGTTGTCGCACAGGTTCGGGCTGCTCCGTCTGGTGTGGAAGTGGAAGATGATCCCCAATCGGCACTTCGTGGTGCACAAGAGACTGCAAAGGACATCCACCCACTTTCGGGACCTGCGATAACCGTGGTATCTGCTGGCCAATCTGCACAAGATAATCTCGATACTTTGGACAAGTTCCAGGACACATATCTCCAACCCCTCAGGATATTTAACGCTGTTGTCGGGGAAATCGCGAATGTATGGGCCCTCCTCTCGATCACGACCGAACTAATCCTGTTCCATAGGTGCATCCATACGCAAAGATGGCACTGGGCATGTTGTCTTGGGCATCCAAAGTATGTTTACTTTTCCTCATTCCTAACTCCCGCTCAGTAACCATTTATGCAGATCATTCTAGCTCAAGTAGATCTCGACGACGCGGTACTCAAACTTCTTCAAAAGTTGGGTGAAGTCTACAGCTTCCTGACACAAGATAAGACGCTTGGCCGAATCTCGTCAATGCGCATTATCCTGGAGCAGATCTCTCAGCAGATCCGCGAATGCGCCCATTTTATCAAAAATTATGCGGAGACCAAGAACTTTTGTGAGTCTTACAAGCCTTTATGCTTTGCACTGTCTCAAGCTTTCTACCATTATCACAGGGAACCGACTCAGAAAGAACGTCATCTCCGAAACGAATGATACGATTCAAAAGTACAGCGACGTGTTGGATAAGCTCATGCAAAACTTCCGGGACGAAGTTACTCGCGACATAGCCATACACATCCATCGTATGGGTAAGGGTTCGGACGTCCTTGTGGCTTGACACATATTAATACTTTTTAGGAGAAACACTGGACCTCAGCGGTATAACTCGTGCAAAGGCCGCAGGACTAGATACCAGGAAACAATGCCTTCCAGGGACGCGCACAGAAATCATTTCTGAGATCACGAAATGGGTCAACAGCACCGAGGACAACGTTCCACAGGTGCTGTGGCTATCTGGCCCTGCAGGCAAGGGAAAATCGGCCATCGCCCACACCATTGCTAAGTCGTTCAGCGACGTGGGAGGGCTTGGTTCATGTTTTTGTTTTGACCGCCAGCGAGAAGCAGATCGTCGCCACGAAATGATCTTTTCTACGATCGCGCGCGACCTGGCTGACCGTGACCCGGAAATGAGGCAAGCATTGGCAGATGCGGTCCAAAACTCGAGTACGCTCGGGACTACAGCGGATATCCTACAGCAATGGCAGAAGCTTCTTATCGAACCACTGGGGAAGTCATCTAAATCAACTATCGGACCCATCGTGATCATGATTGATGCACTGGACGAGAGCGGTGGAGTAGAGACACGGGAAGACCTCCTCCGCATTCTAGCTGGAAAACATCGCGACTCTGCTGTTCCCAAAATCACAGACCTCCCAAACAACTTCCGCTTCATCGTTACCTCTCGCCCGCTCAGTGACATCAATGAGGAATTTCGGGGTGTTCAGCATATTCGCCAGATGTCGATGGATGATATTCCACCAGAAGTCGCAAAGCGGGACATCAAAGCCTACGTATCCCAGAAGTTGGAAGGGTCGGTTTTTCAGGACAGAGAGTTTGCAGTCCTCGCTGAGAAAGCTGATGGACTGTTTGAGTGGGCGCGTCTCGCCTGCGGATACATCAAACAGTCACATGATTGGCTATCTCCAGAGGAATGCTACGAGGCCGTGGTGTCAAGCAAGTCCGCTGAGAGGAGCATACTGTTGTATGACATGTATCGCCTCATTTTATCAAACATCATGCACATGGATCCGTCTACCAATGTCCAGCATTCGCAGAATCTGAATTCGAAGGCGCTAGCGAGATTTCGCTCAGTGATGGAACAAATTCTAGGCACAGCTGAACCCCTTCCTTTAGCTTCCCTGAACGCCATGAGGCTCCATTTTCCAACCCGAGAGGATCATTATGACATGGGGCCCATGGTAAAATCCATGGGTTCCCTCCTCAGCGGCACCACCAACCCAAATTCCCCAATACGACCCCTTCACACATCCTTCCGCGATTTCCTGACGGACCAACAGCACAGTAAAGAGTTTTTCATTGACATGTCTAAGGCGCAGCACGACCTTGCATTCGCGTCACTTGGAGTGATGAAACACGGTCTTCGCTTCAATATCTGTGATTTAACGTCTTCGTATCTTCCTAATTGCGATGATCCCGGACTGCAAGACCGAATCGAAACATGTATTCCCCCACATCTGTCCTATTCATCTCGATTTTGGACTTCACATGTACGAACCGCAGTCTTCGATAAGGACCTCGCGAAAGAAGTTAAATCATTCTTCGACCACGAGCGGCTATTTTTCTGGCTCGAGTCACTCGCCCTCATACATGCGCTCAGTGGTGCAGTTCCCACCCTTTCACACATTTCCCAGTGGCTGAAGGTGAGTAGATCGCTACTGAGTGCCAGATACAGCCCTCATGCGCAACCACAGGGCCACTCCGAATTTACAGATGTCTCGTCGACTGCAATGGACGTACAAAGGTTTATTCAAGTCTTCGGCAGCATCATTTTACACAGCACACCTCATCTCTATGTATCAGCACTCCCATTCTCACCTGTCAACTCTCCGCTATCGAGAAAAATTTCCGCACGGTTTCCGAATACTCTTCATGCAGTATCTGGACGTGACATGAACTGGCCGGCTGTTCAGACCGTGCTCATGGGGCACACTGATCGGGTTCAATCAGTCTCGTTCTCGCCAGATGGAACTCGCATCGCCACTGGTTCGGCGGATAAGACTGTTCGGCTGTGGGATGCAGCGATGGGGCAGCCAGTCGGTGAGCCCTTGCGGGGGCACACTGGTTCAGTTCAATCAGTATCGTTCTCACTGGATGGAACTCGCATCGTCACTGGTTCGGCGGATAAGACTGTTCGGCTGTGGGATGCAGCGACGGGGCAGCTAGTCGGTGAGCCCTTGCGGGGGCACACTGGTTCAGTTCAATCAGTCTCGTTCTCGCCTGATGGAACTCGCATCGTCAGTGGTTCTTGGGATGAGACTGTTCGGCTGTGGGATGCAGCGACAGGGCAGCCAGTCGGTGAGCCCTTGCGGGGGCACACTCGTTCAGTTTATTCAGTCTCGTTCTCGCCGGATGGAACTCGTATTGTCACTGGTTCTTTGGATAAGACTGTTCGGCTGTGGGATGCAGCGATGGGGCAGTCAGTCGGCGAGCCCTTGCGGGGGCACACTGAATTAGTTCAATCAGTCTCGTTCTCGCCGGATGGAACTCGCATCGTCACTGGTTCGGCGGATGACTCTGTTCGGCTGTGGGATGCAGTGACGGGGCAGTCAGTCGGCAAGCCCTTGCGGGGGCACAGTCAATCAGTTTATTCAGTCTCGTTCTCGCCGGATGGAACTCGCATCGTCACTGGTTCGGCGGATAAGACTGTTCGGCTGTGGGATGCAGCGACGGGGCAGTCAGTCGGCGAGCCCTTGCGGGGGCACACTGATTCAGTTCAATCAGTATCGTTCTCGTCGGATGGAACTCGCATCGCCACTGGTTCGGCGGATAAGACTGTTCGGCTGTGGGATGCAGCGATGGGGCAGCCAGTCGGTGAGCCCTTGCAGGGGCACACTGATTCAATTCAATCAGTATCGTTCTCACCGGATGGAACTCGTATCGTCACTGGTTCGGCGGATAAGACTGTTCGGCTGTGGGATGCAGCGACGGGGCAGCCAGTCGGTGAGCCCTTGCGGGGGCACGCTCGTTCAGTTTATTCAGTCTCGTTCTCGCCGGATGGAACTCGCATTGTCACTGGTTCTTTGGATAAGACTGTTCGGCTGTGGGATGCAGCGATGGGGCAGTCAGTCGGCAAGCCCTTGCGGGGGCACACTGATTCAGTTCAATCAGTATCGTTCTCGCCAGATGGAACTCGCATCGCCACTGGTTCTCGGGATAAGACTGTTCGGCTGTGGGATGCAGCGACGGGGCAGCCAGTCGGTGAGCCCTTGCGGGGGCACACTGGTTCAGTTTATTCAGTCTCGTTCTCGCCGGATGGAACTCGCATCGTCACTGGTTCGGCGGATGGGACTGTTCAGCTGTGGGATGCAGCGACAGGGCAGCCAATCGGCGAGCCCTTGCAGGGGCACACTAAGATAGTTCAATCAGTCTCGTTCTCACCGGATGGAACTCGCATCGTCACTGGTTCGGCGGATGGGACTGTTCGGCTGTGGGATGCAGCGACGGGGCAGCCAATCGGCGAGCCCTTGCAGGGGCACACTAAGATAGTTCAATCAGTCTCGTTCTCGCCGGATGGAACTCGCATCATCACTGGTTCGGCGGATAAGACTGTTCGGCTGTGGGATGCAGCGACGGGGCAGCCAGTCGGTGAGCCCTTGCGGGGGCACACTGATTCAGTTCAATCAGTATTGTTCTCACCGGATGGAACTCGCATTGTCACTGGTTCGGTGGATAAGACTGTTCGGCTGTGGCGTGCAGTGAGAAAGCAGCCATTGAAACAGTGCACCGAGTCAGATCATCCTGCATCCTCAGACAATCACTTCATTTGCTTCTCGCCCAACTCCATCCATGCGCTGTGCGACACTTCTGAGTTAATGGAGGAAGAATCCCATGACGACCGCAGTTCAACCCATTTGTCACTGAATGGTGACAGTGGATGGGTGGTAGGGCCCAAACATAGGCTGTTATTCTGGGTACCACCTGCTTCTCGACATTCATTTTATAGTACTGGGACTGCATTGGTGATACCCAGAGGTCCTGAGCTTGATTTGAGCCGCATGGCACATGGACGACACTGGCAAAAGTGCCGAGAGGAGTGAGTCTGTTCAACGTACTTTCCGTTCCTCGCACTTACTGAAATCGACGCTTGCAGACCTTAGCACTGCGATGATCGTATTCCAGCAATTGATCTGTCATGGATATTGCAGTCACAGCTTGAATGTGACACCAAATGTACAGTGAATCGTAATTTGTACTCTATTCTATACTGCATCCAGTCCGAGTTCAGGGTTGTTTGAGCAGAAGACTTGCTGAAGAGCTGACTGCGTGATACTCATCAAACTCCTGCTCGTTTGTGGGAGCACGTACTCACGGAGCAGGAATGCTGCTTCCATCAGAGATGCGCGTGCGCCATGCGGTGTGGATCGTCTTGAAGTATATTCATTGGTGCTTCATAGCGGATTGAGCAGCCGAACAGAAAACATCACGGTTCTGGTCATTCTGTGGCCGTTCAGGTTCCCGTTGCACCTAGTCATTAAGGGATCCAGGAATCTGAGAACAGGGTGGGATGAAATATGTGGTTCATTGTGTACGGTGTACAGTACAACATGCATGTCATCGCGATATCCACAACCAAGGCGGTGAGAACGAGAGCACGAAAATGATCCGTGTAAGGACCATGTGAACTGTGAGGGGTGAAAAGATATACGAGACAAGAACAAGCTGAAGGAAAGAAAAAGAGCACCTGGCAAGAGCAAGCGAACGGGAGACGAAATTGAGGCAAAGCGAAGAGTAGGAGCTAATATGAGCAGTTCCAGCTTGCCGAATTTAGGGGGATATTGGATGCAGGTGCACCATGGTGTCATAACGAGCGTCCTCGACAAAGACAAAGACTTCGATAGTCGAGCTCTAGAGACTCAACAGGAAGAGTCTGAGGACTGCAAATGAGTTCCGTAAATCTGCATTCAACTCGTAATAAATGTGACAATATGAATATATGCATATATACCAGACCAAGTGACGCAGACTGAGACTCACGAATCTGCTGAGGGAGCGTTCATAATACAGTTGGTCTTCGACACCCACAGGCCTGCAGCCCTCGGTCGCAAACGTAGTCATTGGAGGGCATCTTGACCACTTTATCCACTGCAACGCAACATAGGAAAAGCGCTCAGTACAATGGTATCTTCACTTCTGCTCCACAGGCCTGGGCGTGCAAGAGATCGTGGTCAGGGGGGAGAATAACATGAGAGTGTAGAGGTTTGCGCATTTGTTTGATGGGAGGTAAGATGATTAATGACGAAAGTTACGTGTCGAAAACGCAAGTTGAAACACTTTCCCACGATAACTTCTCTGATGGTGTGGCACAGTATAGACTGCGTGGGAGTCTTGCAATTGGATCAGGGAGGGAGTTGGGTGGGACGTTCTGATCCATCCTCGGGTATTTCAATGCCGTTACCAAATTCTGATTGGGACTTTTGACTCTCGTCGTCGTCCTTCGTCCAGTGATTCAGCTATCATAATGTTCTCCCTTGTCCGCATTTATCTGCTCAGGTCCCATAACACGAAACGTGAAGTTCGTGTTCCTGCTATCTACTTACTAGCACTGCGCTCAAGGATCCATTTGTGCACGCGCGTTTGGCAACTGCGGACCGTTTCCTACCATTTGGCCAATTACTGACTGAGTATGTCTATTTCCCTTTTACCCGTCATCCTGGTCACCACCTCGTCCTTGATGGTAGATCTGCAAGTGGACAACAATTCACCTGGATGCTGTCAGCTACGCTCAGATAATTCAGCTTGTAGACGATCAGACCTCGAACAGCAGTCTTTCATTGACAGGCAGCAAAATCGTACAAGGGATAGTGTTTGGTTACGGACCGGAAGGTAATTCTACCACTAACACTCACACCCCATCCCAAGGTATCCTCAAAAATGTCTCAAACGCGAATGTGACTGTCTTTACTTTTGTCGTTGACACCGCCAAACCAAAATAAAGGGTACCATCCTCGTCAAAAATGCGGACGAATTGATCAATTTCACCCGCGGCGAGGAACAACAACTCGAAAAGGTATCTTCTGCTTCTCTACGTCTACTACCACTCAACAGATTTTCAAAGAAATCACCTTTTCAGGCATAGAAGTCATCATCACAGGCTCGTCCATCGGCGACCTCGCTCTACACTCCCTCAATGGCTTCGACACTGCCGGACTCAAACAAAGTCCTCTCCAAGTTCGACCTCCGCTGCGCAGTTCGAATCGTCAACGTCACACCCTTCTCCGCATCAGCGCACCCACCCCAGAGCAAGCAGCACTTTTGAGACAACAAAGATCGGCGGAGACCGTGTCACCGTTCTCTGCCACTAATCACTTAGTTGTCACTCACGAATCGCGACATCGTGCTCATTGGCTGCTGTGGGCCAAGGCAAGCACTGCCAAAAGCCAGTAGTACTAGCACATAACCCTCTTCGAGCCCCGGTATCTCATTCTCTGCTTGCCGTGTCTGATAATTCATGGTCACATGAAGGTGGGCCTGGGACGATCAATTGGTCGGAGCCACCAATTCAGAGAAATTGGACACAAATGAGCTATTTACATTTGCTGGCGGGTGTTTCTTATTCATTCACACTGTTGCAATCGATCTCATTACAGATTAAATTTGAGCATGTCGGCCAGAACCAATCCCACAGGTATGACACGATGACAACGCAGTATACAAGGGTGGGGAGAACTGTATGCTTATATTGAGTTTCTTTCCAACGGTTTCAATATTGCGACCTCGAAACAGCCTACCAGCTGTGAGATGACAATCCTTCGAATTTTTCCGTCTGCAACGGCAGCCTCACCTCCAGTATTACGAATATGCAGAGACTCTCTCCTGACTGGCTTATCGATCTTGTGGAGCAACAATGGCCAGAAGTGTTACCCGATCGAAGTGCAAAATGCTATGAGGACACTGATGATGCGATCATTCGAGCTCATTTCGGATTTGGCGGATATCCACACCTTGGGCCGCAAAAATTGCTTCAATCCACAGGGTGGTTCGGTGCCTCCGGAGTGGTTCGCTGTGTTTGATGGTGATTTTGACGACGTACTTGACGATGACGAACTTGCGGTCATTCAAATTGACACCGTTCTTGTGCTCACTGCATGCTCTGATCAAGGAGACGAGTTTGAAGAGCGTCCTGTTGATGAAAAGATGGACTAGTACATGACCGAATTAGTCAGGCGTGCGCCCCCATGGTGGGTGAACTGCTGGTTGGGAGACTGAGTGGCCATCTACAGTGCATCGGCATCGACGTATTCTCATACGCGTCACTAATTAGTAGACAGGTTGACATTGCGGTTGAATCTCAACACATAAATATTCTACTGGCTCAAGATATCAAGACATAATCAACGCTAGAATGTTACAATTACTACTGTGTCAACGATCTCAATATTACATCCCATTTTCACGGCCGTGGTCAACTCCCTGGACAGAGGGACTATCAGTTGAGCTCCTCGTTGGCAGCTCTTCTTCGTCGGATGTCGTCCTCGCAAAACAAACATCTATCATGCCTGCACGACGCAAGTTGTCCTCCGTCGGATGCTCCACATCTTCCAAAGCTTCGTGGACGGATGGCGAATGATGACCCAACCACAACAGTTGCAGTGCGCCTGTATTTTGGATGGCAGCCTGGCTGTTGTGGGATGCATCGAATGCTCCTGTCATGTGTAGAGCCAATCCCAACATGATCACTGACGCAGAGGTCGCAAATAGCAGCTAGAATCAACTTCGACAAACTGTCATTGCATAGATGACGTCGTGAACTCACAGGAATAAGGGTGATCTGCAACGTGTATGCATCAGTCAAATAGAGAGAGGTTCTGTGTAGTTGGAACTGACATTGAGTCGTAGGGCAATCACCTCCTCATCGACAAGCGCCATCCCCTCACCAGGTGGAACTCCTCCATTGGATCCCATTCTGGTTGCTGAGGTAGGGATAGTATGAGTAAGAACACACCCATGCATATGGTCTCTTACAGATCCAAGTGACTTCTGCAACTGTTTGCGCAATAGCAGCTTCTAGTTTATCCAGTCTCAGGGTGAAATTAGAAACGGGAGGTTCTTCGCCGGCGGCCCATTGGTCATACTGAGCTGTGAGATTCAATCCTACCAATGACATGATATACCTAGAATAAAAGACTGTGGTTGAGGCATTGTAGGATGGCGGTGAAGGTAAAGTCTGAGCTCATCCACAATGGTGGGTTCACTGATATATTCATATCCACCTAAACCCTCACCGAATTGACACCCACTACCGCCTGAAGAAGACAAAACCTGACTCATCTTATGTAGACAACGGATCATTGAACTTTGATAACCCCTCAATACAAGTATTGTTCAACGCACAAATATTGACCACGGGGTAGATGTCCACTGATGCATTTCCCCCCATTGCGTGGATGGCTGCGAGATAGGGATCGGATTCTGTAGAGCGTTGGTTTGCATATCGATCACTACTGTGATATTGTTGGTCAACAGCGAGCATTGCACAAAATAGACTTCAATGGATGTGTTCGAATTTGCAGAAGGTTTGTTATCATGACTACATTCCGAGCAGGCCATACACACACGAAGGGTTCGATGCACCCGTATTTCCCACAGGCATCGTGTTTCCCGCAGGCATCGCAGATACCGCAGGTGCCGGTATCGGAGGTTCCCCAACTGATTTCCAAGTCATTGGTACCGCAACCTCCTTTCGTACTGAAGGCTCGATCTCCAACAAGGTAGAAATCATTAGCAAGACAGAAGGCTGTGCGAAACTCTGGTACTAATGTGGGGCAGTCGCGAATTAGCTTCAGAGTGCGCACCAAAAGCTTGGCACGAACGTCATTGACCGAGCTGGAAGGGGGCTGAACTACTTGTATCTGATCTGTCCCTGTAGGCATTTCTAAATATGATGAAATGATATTTCACACCATGCTGACGTACAGGGGGGGTTTACAGTCATTAAGAGAACATTTCCATTGCCAAATGGAGCACTTGCTGTGCTTTGATTCAGAGAGTATGTGACATTTGGAAGCAATCCACAACTCGAGGTCATCGTTGTGGCATTCACCGTTGCATACCCGACGATGGAGTTCGTCCGCGAGGTGTCGTAAACTGTATTATTGGATAACCCTATAGAAATAAGTCCAGGAAATTGACTGATAGCCGGTAAGGATGCAGTGACGACCTCCCAGTTCTCAACAACCCAGTCCAGGGTGAAGTTTGATGGATCTACCCATCCTAGTGTTGTTGACACATTAGTCGTCATAAAAGAATTGAATGTTTGAAATTGTAGGAGAGTGGAAGAGGTGACGTGCAGGACAGAAATGCATATAAGGTAGGTTGTCACTGCGGTAGTCGCCCACGATGATGCAGGGACACCAATTTGTTTCCAGACACTACTGAGTGCGGAGCCAAGGCCTCCCCATGCGCCGGAGATGTCGTGGATCGAGGTCAATTTCAGACGGCGTACAAGCGTCCTCGACATCGCAAGTCGTTGGGTAAGGAAGACTAGGACAACTGTATAGAGCTAGACGAAGTCTTGTGATTGGTGTATTGGTGAGATAACAGCGAGCACATACCGTGTAAAATGCTTGTAGTGAAGCGCTCAGTACCACAGGCCAAAAATCGGTGTTCGTGGGCGTGAATGGGAGAGTCACACGGTGTTCCCAGCGAGAGATATAAGACATGGTGAGGAAGACGTGTATCAGGACCAACATGCCGTGCAGCACGTAACATGTGCGTGCAGAGAATGATTTCCCGCTTGCATTTTCTGACGGATTTTTCGAGCGAGTCTTCCAGGACGCTGGGGCAAAGAGATATAGTTGTCGGCATATAACAGTAATTAACATGAGATTAACATACCGAACCAAGTACCTGGTGGTTGCATTATGGGATGCTCGCCGTTCGCGGTGCGGTTGAGGCCTCAGATTTTTCGAAGGGAAGAGGCAGCACTAATGTATCTGCGAGGAAGGTAAGCGAAGATGGGGTAGAACGGACGGTCCTGCAGCTGGGAATTGATAAGTTATGATAAAGGTATCTATGTAAAAGAAGATGCATTTCAGCATTCTTAATCGCCTGATTGCGATTCGAAGGAAAGAACCTGAAAGATTACAGCATCATGATCGCACTGCCGCTGATAATGATTCAGAATGCCGTCTGATATCAGTAGATATTTGCGGTGGATTCCGAGCCCAGCACTGTGCTGATGCCATGGTGTGAGATGGACAATACTTTGCATGCGATGAATCAATCGTAGAGCCGCTGAGGGCAGCAGTCCCCGCTCGGGCGTCGTAAAAGATGACTATGACACTGCGAGCGCTAAGGTCATGGTTTGGCAATTCGTTTGGTATTGCAAAATGTTTCGCCTCCCGTCATGACGACTCCACCAGTACTGAAAACGCTCACTAGAGAGCTAGAAAAATTTGTAGCCTTCGAGACTTTCAAAGCCTGGACGAAAAGATGATGACGGGCGAAGACGGGCTAGCTATGACTCAGTAATAAGGTATGTTTTTCTAACATTAGAGACTGCGTGCGAATTTTAGATTAGAGTTATATATTGCATAACTCAGGAGTGGGCGGCGGGTTTTATTGCGCTTTGCAAAGTGATCACACTTCATATGTGTGCACCATGTCTTGGACCGAGACCGTAATTCAGGTTGTCGCACGCAACAAACGAACTATAAAAAAGGCAAACAGCCAAAGACATATCTAACTACTTGTACTCTAAGCCTCCCCGACCCTCTTGATAATGTTCCCTCGAACCACAACGCGTTCATTGCGCTTCCAAAAATCTGCCGGAATTTCTGCTAGTTTCGTCGGATAATCCTAAGTTCACATCAATATACAAGGCGTTTATCGCAAATAACCGACGAACCTCGTGTACGAGATGTCCCACACCCGAACCAGCCATGACTTCAAGCCAGAATTTGCCCTGCATCTGGCCAACCATAAGTGTCGTGTCAAGGCGCTCTGCGCCTGCTAATACTAAGAGCCGTGCGGAGCGGAGGCCGAGGAATAAAGACGAAAGCGACGGGAACCAGCCTGAAAGAAAAATCAGAGTCATTGATGCAAGTCAAAAGAGCAACTGTAGACTTACTGTCCCAGTATGGTGCCATTGACCGAAGCGGCGTACGCCACTTGTATTTGAACCCAATATTTGCGCGTGTGCTGGGCGTCAGAGGGGAATCGGCGGGAACAACGATAGATGGAATTGAAACACGGGCAGAAGTGGGGTTATGGATGAGGCCCGTATTGACGCTGTATAAGCGGGTTTGAATACAACATCTATTGAAGGTGAAACGAAACACGGACTGCCACTCGACTGCTTCCTCAACGCTATCGAAACCCTCGGGTCGAGAGTTGAGAATTGCGTGCATGTGAGGCAGCGCTTCCACTGCTGTGCCTATTGGTGATGGGTCAAACTCGTGCAATTCATAAATTTTGGTGTAGCACTAAGTACCTTCTACTACATCCAGAACAGCCACTCCCGCGATATTATATTTGCGTTGCTGAAGTATGGGACACGCGCGAACGCATACAGATCCTCCCATGCTGTGTCCAACAAGCTATTCAGAGAATTATTGACTCGAGATGCGTTAAAGGGAGAATAGAGCTCACCATTAACGGTGGAGCTGCTGCCGCATCTGGGTAAATTGTTTGCAGCAGAGCACAGAAATCCTCCACGAGGACATTAATTGATAGGTCTTCATCAGACTCAGATGATGTCGTCTTTCCTGAAACACGGTGAGTATTCCACGTTTCTCTGAAGCGAATGCGTACCATGTCTTCTCGCATCAAATGCCAGAACACCGACGCTATCCCTCATGACCTCACTAATCTCTTTCGCGAGACATGCGAAACTTGTACCTGCGTATCCTGCGTCGTGGTGGAATACGATGACACCCCCTCCGTCGTACTTTGGGGGAGTGTAATATACCCGAACGTCAAGGGCTTGGGTGGGGAGTGATACCTGCAATGCCTGAGAAAAATATGATGCAGGACTTAATGACTTGAATACAGGATTTGGTGGCTTTGGTGTTCTGGTAGACGTGCTTAGCCGTGGTCTATACAACAATGAGAGAAAAAAGGATTGAAGGAATGGAAGGTAACATGATGTCATAACGAGCGTCCTCGCCAAAAACAAAGACCTCGATGGTCGGGCTCTAGAGACTCAACAGGAAGAGTTCAAGGACTGCAAATGAGTTCCATAAATCTGCATTCAACTCGTGATAAATATGTGACGTTGTGGATATATCCATATATACCAGACAAAGAGACGCAGACTGAGACTCACGAAACTGCTGAGGGAGCATTCATAATACAGTTGGTTTTCGACACCCACAGGCCTGCAGCCCTCGGTCGCAAACGTAGTCATTGGATGGCCTATTGACCATTTTTCGTGGCCCACTTTATCCACTCCAACGCAACATAGGAAAAGCGCTCAGTGCAATGGTATCTTCGCTTCTGCTCTACAGGCCTGGGCGTACAAGCGATCGTGGTCGGGAGGGGGGAGAATAACATCCTGGAGGTCTGCGAACTTGTTTGATGCCAGACTTTGCCACTGAGTGGGAGGAAGCTGAAGCACTTTCCCACGATGACAGACACTCCCAAATGCTGACTGTTGTCTACTTTGATATTGAGCGCTTTCACCAGCTTTGCAATTGGAGGCTGGATAGACGTCGCTTCCGCACAAAGCACATACTGTTTGTCCAACGTACCAATGTCATGAGACTTTCGGGCACTCGATGTCCCCTCTCGTCCTAGTGTGCGCGCCTAACACGATCATCCCTCCAATATGGTCCTCGTATTCCTCAGCAGTGTGGGACGTGTACTGTAAGGGATCTGCGTGTCCAAACGCGCTCGCAGATGGCATGATGGTGCCCAACAGTCGACCAGATTTCAGCGATGCAAATGACGTGGTCGCTATACGTCAGTGGGTGGAATGTGCAGAAGGACGAGATGAATTGGAGTCTGAGAGGTTGAAAATGTTTGTGGAGGTAAGTGCTGAGCCCGCAGATGAACGTGCAGACTAGGGGCTTATGTCAACCGCATGGAGTGCAGAGGCCGACCATGGGGTTCCCTTGATGGATGACTTGGGGCTGTATTAACAAATATCGTTACTCCAAGATTGTCAACGGCGGTGTGCAAACTCACAATTCCAAACGTCGTTCTGTGTTGCTGGATATCACGACGCTGAATCACACTGATTACCGCAGTACATAGGTAAGCACATCCAAAAGTACCATTGTTTATTTCCTAACTCCTACAGCAGATCCCCAACTTGCTCCAGCACCATGCTCTTCATCAGATAACCCGTGTGTGAAACACTAAACCACGCAAAATGAATGAAGCACCCCTCCCCCACGCATATCACTCATACAACCCCAAAATCCCACTTATGGATGAAACCACACTTCGCAAACTCTCGCGCAGAGCTGTAAAAGCTAGCTGAGGTGTGGTTCGCGTTTCTTGTCCTGAATGTTAATCACTGACCTTAAAACAAGAGCACCGTGACAAAGTGAAATTGAACATGAAGGGCGCGGTATTCGTTAGGGAGTTATTAGAACTCTGTAAGGTTATTCCGCTACTGTACGTCCCCTGCTTCATGTTCGATGTCATAAATGGTTCTGACAATCGCTCAGCCAAGACGAAGAAAGCAAAAAGTAAAAGTTTCCGACCAAAACAAACGCGGTCCAGTGGCCAGATAGGCAAACTCCAGTACTCCCAACCATCATGCGCGACGGACGGAATGTGTGTGAAAGTGACACTAAGTATGTCCGCCACCTAGCAACCCTACCCCTCTCAACGTCAGGGTCCCACCACGTCGAACAGATAGATTCTATAGGCATGAAAGATGCAGATCTATACCAACGGGTAGCGACAGCGTTGAGGAGCGGGCAATGTGCAGTCGTGCGTGGCGCAACACGCAGCTGGGTCCCGAAGAGGTCCCCGCGGAGTGTCTGGTTGAGTGCAGAATAACTCCATAGCTGCGTACCAACCACCACGGTCAGTTGAAACACATATGCTCTGCCACTTCTTTGCTCATCCTTGTCCTTAGACATGAAACAGGGCGCACTCCCGCATAGATGCAACAATAGGCCGGCTGTTGTCTGGGACTGACGATCCTAATGTGCTACGTCTACTAGTTGAGCGTTAATTCTGACCCTCAAGTTGGATTACGCAGGTACATAACGCGAGTGCAACCTGGAATATTATTCGATTGCTGCCCCTTCACAAGACTTGTCATCACCTAACCCTCATCTCGTCGTCCTACACACAGGCATCTCCCAAATTTTGCATATGAGCGGTGCAGCCGAGGTATTTGCACAGATCTTGGGCAAATATATATGACGAGGCAGCAGAAGGTAATGCCGGAATTCCGGTGCGTCAACTATCTTCAATGATGTCTGTCCTGTATATCGGTGCCTCATTGGATTTCCTAGTATCTCGCAACTACATGGAGCTCGTTGCATTCATTTTGACAGTGTATATGTTTGAAATGTCACCTGTCTTTTTCGTCTGACGTCTAATGTGCTCGAATTGCGCCTCCACGTTTCACGGCTATTGTCTTCATCAGTGACTCGGTCACACAATTCTAGTGGATAAAATTCAAACATGCACGACAGGTTTCTCAGATGCTGGAGGATGCTTTGTGCCGAGAGCTGCGTGAAGCAATCAAAGGGACCAGGCAGATGTCTTGTCTCGACAAAAGTTCTGACTTCAGTTCAGCAATCTGCATTTTGTGAACACTAAACCGTTGTCGATTAATGGACTTTGGCTTCTACAGCGGCTTGCCAGTGACAGACAAATCCGCACCAAGATTGACAGACAAATCCGCACCAAGATTGACAGGAATAACTAGCGCCTGCTGTTCATGAAAGCAATAGATTCGAAGAAAGCGCTGTTACTTCATGGAACCAATTTACAACAATATATTCCGCGCTATATATGCGTATATGTACTCGAACGAAAATAAGGATCTCTCCCCGAAAAAAGCTGCTAAACATCTACACAAATAAATGTATGCGTACATGTACTCGAACGAAAATGAGGATCTCTCCCCGAAAAAGGTGCCAAAAATTTAAACAAATAATCGAATGTGACGAAAAGAGAACGAATAATTGTATGAACGAAGAGATGCGATGTGGTGGTTGCATGCAGAGTACAAATGACATGGTATATGTACATCCGCGAAACAAAAATTTCGTGGCATAATGTTGCTGGAGAGTGTGCTTGTGGTGATATTGACGATGAAAATGATACTGTTCACAACCCTGCATTCAAGTCACTTGCAGAGCCTGTTGATGTAGAATGAGGACCGTGACCAGCGCGATAGTTTTTAGGAAGACATACCGGAACTCAATAATGTTACCTATAGTGATAAGCTCGCAAGAGGCGCTTAAGCTACCACGCAGTATGCGCCTCCGCTGCTGCTACTGGATTCCTCATCCGTAGGCACCGAGGCAACATGTGATGATTCCTCAAATTGAGAGGTAGTGAAGATGGAGGTGAAAGTAGTGAAGGCGTCCATTTCAGATTGTTATGAGCGGGGGATGGCTTTTGAATAGAGTGATTGCTCTGCTCTGAAGACTGAAGACGGGTGACTGAAGTTGGGAGGAAAAGAACATATAATCACGACATTATATACGTTCGCAACGGTCCACGGCTAGAGCAAAGCAAAGTTTAGGTGTAGGCACAAAGTTTACCGGAAGCGTTTGGAGAAGTTCCGGTCTAATTGTCTTGGCCGTCTGTAGTCCATTTCAAGCCGCTGATGGGATAAAACGTCTTAGGCGGTCGAAGCGATTCTGTGAACCTATTAGCGCGAAAACAATAAGAATCACTTGAAGTGGACTGATGATGAAGTCGTTTGACAATAAGCCTGTATCGATGTCCAAATAAGGAAGTGGAACGCTGACGAAACAAAAAGCAGCAACTCACGAGCGCTACGTCCAGAGGTTTAGCACACATCAGAAATATATGAGTATGATGCCAGACAAACCTGGGAGATCTAGCCGCCCATGCTGAGGAGCACAGCACCGCGGTCGAAGGAACAGGTTATACATATACTTATATTGAATGAATATCGGCCTAGCTGCATATATATATTACCTTCTAGTCTATGCAACGAATGACTTCTTCATGCTGAAATGACAGCTATTCGTCCAATTTCGTCTCGCGTGTCATCCGGTCACTATAAACTTCATAGTTCAGAGAACGGGCAGATGCGGCAAGAGTTAAATGGTCCGCAAGGTTTTGTTGGCAAGTTCCTTGCAACTACAATAAGACGTGCACTGAGGAAAGCAACATATCATCATCCTGACTCAGTGGACGAACCTACACACTATCCCCCTGGACGTTCGGGGAAATTTTGCATTCAAGGGTCATCGTGATGGTGCCTTCAGAGAGTGGTCAATCGTAGATTTGGAATGTCTCATATGATTCATATCCGAAGGTCTAATCACATATGTCATTGCTCTGAACCTATGGACAATGAAAGCTCATTATGCTTGAAATTTGCCCTCACTTCACCGGCCCCCGGTGCGGTTTCTCATTGATATAGGTGCATACTAAATCAAACATATCTCATGTATGAATTATCCGACAATGCAGACACAAAAAAACAATAAAGTAGTGGAGCAGATCCGATTCGGTTGCTCATCAAGTTGTGTGATAGAGGATAGTCCATGTGCCGCCGCGCGGTCACTCTGTGTCTTCAGCAAATTTGTTTTCCACTGGCGCAGGACCAGCCTCACCACTCTTGGGCATAGAGGCACGTTCCCCGTGCTCACTAGGAGCTTGTCCCGCAGCGTCAGATGAACGTTCGCCATGTGGAGGTCGTCCTTCAGGTGCCTTCTCCTGCTGACGCTTGCTTGGGCGTGACGAAGCCGTGCCATCATCATGGCTCATCGACGACGCTCGTTTTTCTGGCTGAGCAGAAAGATCATCGGTGGACACGTCAACCAAAAATCAAGACACTTACAGCGTAGCCATTCTGACGAGTTCCATTGGAAGAATTCTTGGCAGGGGTGGAGTAAGAAGGCGGAGCAATATGTTCCTCGTCATCATCATCATCATCGTCGACGACAGCATCAGCATCTTGATACAGGTCATCCTCATCATCGTCTTCTTGCTCCTCTTCCATGCTAGACCCATCCTCGTCCTCATCCTCTTCGTCACTAACATATCCAGCGGAACGGACCGCCGCCTCAACTGGACCCCCGCGGTCCATTTGTTCGCTAGCGACGAGATAACGAGCACATAGCATTCTGACATCATTCCACCACTCCATCATATCCTCATGACTACGAGAACGGAATGACCAAGCATGCTGGCCACCCGTCATGGGCAATTTGAAGGAGCCGTGTTTAGTGGTACCCGTACCGTCTTTGCGACCCTCGATATGGAACTTGTGAGACTTCGAAGACGGCGTTGATGGAGGGCCGAGCGTGCACGCCGGAAGGAACAATGAAAATATTGGCGTTTGACTGCCTGATTGAGATGGGTCAGATGTCGCAAACTCATGTAAGAATCCTGCGGGAGTGAGGACATAGTAAGCCTCGCGATAGGTCCTTGTGAACCTCTT